CGTGTCTCACCTAAAAAATCCATTGCGCAGGTTCGAAGGCCTTACCCGCATTTGCAAAGCCCTGTATCACCAGCGCGCTTGTAACAAATGTGGGTGGAGACCTTTCCCGGATCTTCGTTCGCGAAGACTGGCCATGACAATGTGTTTGCAGAGGAAACATCGCACAACACCATGAACTTTTTGCTTGGAGAATTGCCAGCTTCTTTGTCTGGACATGCAAGAACCACAGGCAAAAAGCTTTTTTTTCTGCAACAGCTAAAGAATGCAAAGCACTTTGTGAGATTAACAAAAAAAGGGGTCTGTATCTGAATATTATTTACAACTAACACTGATGAGAAACAGAGAAGTCAATGCCTCTGGAGTTGCTAAGAGCTGTGTAGATTTAGGCTTTATGAACAAAGCATTCAGTACTTTATTGCATATTAGTTTATAAAGCAAATATTTAAAGAAAAAATCATTCTTTGCATCAGAGGGTGGATGTTTTTCAGATGCTGAATTGCAGAGAACTCCATTCCCAGGTGTACCCTGTGTTCATCTACATAAACCAAAAAGAGCCAAAGGGTAGACCAGGATCTTTACTAGAGCAGTCCATCTTCTTTTTCCAGCCTATGCTGCCTCTTACACTTCACATGGAACGAGTGGTCAAGGTAAGAAAATTCTAGCATGTTATGTCTCCAGCACCAGTGATGCACAAGCCCTGAACTAATGCAGCACTGCTGTTGATCCTACAGCTTTTTGTAGTCTTACAAAATAAACTTACATAAGTGGTTTGGGGCTTTTTTTTCATCCCACTCAGAAAGCAATAAACATTTCCAGTTGCAACAGGCCTCCACTTTCGACTATTTTGCTATTCATACAGGAAACCAGCAAAGTTTCTTTAAAAGTCTAATAGCTATGTAAGCCAAGTGCTACATCATGAAACAAAAAACAGTTGTTTTGATGCACTTGCATCGAACATGAAATAGTTGCACTTCTAGCAGGTACTTTTCACAAACTTTGAATTGGTAATGAGATTTTCACTGCTGAGGGTGTGGTGGTTTGAGCCAACAAAAAAATCCAAAATCCAATTTCCAGGCTTCCCCCACCCCTTTCCACAATTTATCTCAACACCGAAGAGAAACTTGCAGGCAAGAGGCTTCTGTAGGAGAAAGAGGAAGTATATATACATTTATTTTATACAAATAAATACTATACAAGCTAAAAGCAACTATATATATAATATTATACACTTCTATCAGTCCTTTTAATCTTCTCCTTCAATTCAGTCCAGGAAAAGCCCTTCAGGGCTGATAGGTACCCAGTCTCTCTCTCATGAGAGTGTTCAGGGAACCTGAACACTAGCCCCACCAACCTCCAGCTGTTTGCTGAAGTCCTTTCTTCCTCACGAAGTCCAAGAAGATAGCTCTGAGTCCTTTCTCCTTGGTTCCATGCCATCTCTGCTGTGTCATTCTCTCTCTCTCATACCTCGGTTCTGTACTGCTATAGTTCAGCTTATCACAGTACACGTCTTGGAATCTTCATTCCTCCTCCGTGTTTTCAGCTGTCCTGCATTTAAATCGCAGTGGGACATCCTCCGGGCCTGTCTCTGGTCTGTCTCCAATTTCGCCTGGGGTTATCTCCCTGGCACCAGGCTGCATTTATCCCATCCACTTTGGCTCCAATGCCGAGCCTACCCTCCACTTTAAAGTGAGAGGGAAGGAGAAGCCCCCCTCTACGCAAAAGGGGGTGGGGGGAAGAGGGCTTGGCTGCAAGGCCTGCCTCTCTCTCTCCCGCTTACCTTATGTTGTGAGTATCTTTCCTCACAACAAACACACTCACTCCAATGCTGCCTCCAACCCTGGCTTAGGCAGAGTTGTGGGGCTGCAGGGCCCCTCTTCCCCAGAGGGGAAAGAAGGGGCCCTGCCACCCCCGGGCCGTCTCTCACCCCCACACACAGAGCAGCAGACAGACAGACCGATTGCCAACAACTTCCCTCGGTTGTGTTTATATGATTTTTCAGCAGGAGCGAACAAGACGGGTGGTGATTGGCTCTCCAGGGGAGACTGGCCTGCCCAATCACCTCCAGGCCCCCCGGCTGCCAGGGGGGCAATCTCAAACCATGACAGAGGGGAGGTAGAGTCCCTTCTGAAGACTGTTTTCTGACTTGCCATCAGTGAGAGTGCTCAGCACTTTGCAAGGTGAACGAGTCAGCCAAAGCCAAGCAGAAATAAGAGGAAGAGCCCCTTACCTCGGTAGCATTTGTAGTAAGCCAGAAGACAGCCACAATGCTCTCCCATTTGGTTCAACTCCAGATGGAGTGGAAATGACCAGCTCTCCCTGCACCTTGGCTGTTTCATGGTCTGAGAAAAGGGCTGGGCTGACTCTGCTGAAGTCAGTCGTGTCTTGAGTATTGACCTGAATGGTAGCAGATACAGATAACTGAAAGGATGAAGAGAAAGAAAGAAAGAGAGAAGAAAAGAGAGAGAGAAAGAGAGAGAAAAAGAAAGAAAGAGAGGAGAGAAAGAGAGAGAAAGAGAGAAGGAGAGAAAGAGAAAGAGAAAAAGGGAGGGAGGAAGGAAGGAAGGAAGGAAGAAAGAAAGAAAGAAAGGAAGGAAGGAAGGAAGGAAGGGAGAAAGACACAGTCAAAGAACTAGGGAATGTGGGAACCTGCATTCAGGTGTCTCCAATGCAGCAGAGAACAATGGGGTGGGGTGACTGAGGTGTGGAGTAGATTCCTTACTTACGTGAGATGGCGGTGGTGTTCCAGATGGGCGTAAAGTCTCTTAAAATTTGATGAATGCACTCATGCATTTCTTTACAGTTCCTTCCTTGCAATGCACACCTCCCCATCTTGACTGCCTTGGTGAAAGGCAGCTGACGTGATTTTCATGTCGTCTCAACAAGTTGTAAGTTTTGAGCAGAGGAAGAATCCAGCCCTGAAGGTAAATATTTTGTCAAGATAGAAGCATCTACAAAAAGGCTGTTGGAAGGCAGTCCTTGCTACCTAAATTTTTACTAGTCGCTGTAATTGATTACTGTGCATTTGAATGCTTTTACATTCTCTTCATAGTTCCTGTGATACACCTATCAGATGTATCAATGCAGAAAGTATTATGAAATTGTTGACTTAAAGTTTCCAAGCTAAACTTAGACCAACTACCAACACTGAATTCAGTTCCACCTGTTCTAGAGCCTTGATGTCTCAAAAAAGGCTCAAATGTTCTCGTCAAAACCATGTGCTGGTTCTCAACAATGAGCTGGATTAAGCTATTCAAAGTCAGACTTGCTAGTTGACAGACTTGTACCTAATAGGTCATTTAACACTATGAGCTCTCTGAAGGTCCATACATTATGGATGATAATTATGATTTTATATCATATATGACAGAAGCCCCTACTAGAATTTGGAGTTTGCAGGAAGAAAGAGTAAATTTTTTTATGGTTTGGTTTGGTTTGGTTTGGTTTTAAATGGTTGTTTTGTTGCTTTCTTAGCAGAAAGTCTTTTGCTCATAGGAAGCTGATTAGGAGTGATGCAAGACTGAAAACAAATATCTGTGTGTAGACTGTCTCCAGTTACTTGAGTGTGTTTGAAATCCTACTGAGACATGTAAGAAGATTCCTTGGACTTTTGGTGTAAAACTCAAATCAATTTTGGGGGCAGAAATAGGAAGTGTGGAGGCATGGGAATTACTCTGCAGTGCTGGGAAAATTATATCTTGCAACCAATTTCTGCTTTAAAAAAAGAGAACCCGAAGAGCACTAGTATCAGTAAACTGTCATTCATTTGGATGTATAATGGATGAGTTAGCAGTGGAGATGGGAGATAGCTGTGGAAGAGGACTGTTCATCAACAGGTTTCCAGATCTCCGTATTGATGTTTTTTTTAAAAGAGATTCTGGTTTGCCTGATTAATGCCAGCTGATATAAAAATACTTAGACCCATGTGCTGCATTTGTTGTGAGGAGTCTTCACTATTTTGATTAAAAAATCAGATAGTAAACTACATGAGATGCATAGAAAGCGTATTCTGAAAAAGGCTGTCTTGCCGGTTTGAGAATGTAAGAACAGGAAATTGAGCTCATTACTTCTGAGGGCATGCAGATGTCATATAAATTTATACTGCAAAACATCACCATTTAAGCTAGGTAGCTAAACATACATTCTTGCCTGCTAAAATCTGTAAGGGTACCAAGACCATGAGAAAAGCCTGAGTGTGAAGACAGTGGCCCTGGTAAGCAGAGAGAAATCCCACCTTTTTGGTACTGTGAGAACCAGCAGCATTAGGGCCAGGAAGATGGAAGATATTTGGGGCATACTTTTGATGTATATTTATATTCTTTTAATTGCTGGAGTCATCAGTAAAAGTTTGAAAACACTGGAGCTTTCTTTGCTGTAATGGGTGACTCCAAATGTTGACAGTAGGAACAGGGATTTCATGTAGAAGCAATATTACAGGATCACATTTGATGTTCTAGGTTCAAAATGAATGGGACAAATTGTTAGAAGAAGATTTTCAGAGGTATAGTCATGGGATAAATTGTTAGAAGAAGATTTTCAGAGGTATTGTCATGGGATGAAAAATTATCCTACACTTAGAGTCTCCATCAGCTCAGTCTGTAAGAGAGTTAAGAAATGAAGCTGATCTCTGTCTAGTACCTTATGTGGGGAATACATCTCAGAGAACAGGGATCACACTAAAACAAGCAAAGAAATAAAAAAAAGGTGACCCTACTCATCATCCAAGAAAATTCCTGAAATTCTGAAAATTCTGTGGAAAAAAAGAAGATAAAAAAAGTTTTTCTCAGTAGTGAGTTCTCCTGTTACAAGGGTGGGGTTTGGATTTTTTTTCCTCTTCGGTTTAAGCGTTAACCAAAGGAAATGGCATGTGCATCATTATTTAACACACTTGCAGCTGGCACAGCCTCATTGGATGGTTTTCTGCCACTCAGATCTGCTTCACCCCCTCCAGAGGCTGGCCCTGACCCTATCCCTGTAAGAAAGCCTTAAGGAGAGCAGTGACAATGTGGTTGCTAAGCACTTTCTTCCTGGCAGCTGTTTTTTCCTGTATGTGCCCTGCTCATCCCGCTGCCTGCACATCCACCGGTGGCAAAGGGTATGCTCTCTTATCTCAGCTTCATGCCTCTAATTTTTCTCTTTTTTTGCCACAGGTGGCTCTGCACAAGACTTGCAGCAAACCCCCATATCCATCACAAGGTCAGAAGGCAAAACAGTGCTAATCAACTGCCACGTCTCCAGTTCCGATTTTAGCAACATTTTCATTCACTGGTACCGAAAGAGGGCCAATGCAGCTCCAGAACGTGTTGCCTACATGTCCTCCAGGATTTTCCTCGAAAACCAGGCCGATGAGGGGAAGTTTAGTATTGAGAAGGATTTCAGCAAATCTATCTGCACCCTGACAGTGAGCAAAATAACTCTGCAAGACTCCGCCACCTACTACTGTGCTAGGTGGGATGCACAGCAGCAGAAAGCCATAGGGGACCTGCACAAAGACTGCTCTGCTTTCGAAATCAGATCCTGCAGTGTTTGACAGCATGCAGGAACATCACCACCCTGCAGATATGGGTGATACTTATCAGTAGTCACTCCCATCTTAGTGCTTATGATATAATGACTCCTTCTTATAGGCAAGGATCTGTTACACTGGGCTACACCTGAAAAGACTGTTCCAAGAAAGGATAGTGAAGACCTTTTACAACGGAAAATGGCAAACTGCAGCAGGGATATGGAAATGGTAACACAGCACTGCTCAGCCAGACAGCTGTGAGGAGAGCCAAAGTGAAATTTCACTTATGTGGTATTCACAATGGTATTCACAACCCCATGTCCATGCAAGTGGTTCTTTTTTTTTTGTTCTTTCATTAGAGATATGTCTGCACTACAAGACCTGACACAAATTCATGTATTTATCACAAGGACAACAGAACAATATGAACTTTCTGTACTAGCTGTGAGATGAGATTTATTTGTGAACACTGCTATTGACAAAGGCCTAAAAATGATCCAGAGGATTCTCTCTTTTGGGTCAGAAAATATGACATTTTTCTCATGGAAGAGTATGATGTGTGGTGGCTGCTATCCAAGGGACCATCTGCTGTAAAGTCTTTGCAAGGCGTTTTTTCAGCGCTCTGAAATGAGGGAAAGTACAAGAAAAAGCAGGGGGCAGCAAATAGCTGGCTGGTGGAAATGCATGCTTCACCCTGACTTTGCCACAGCCACTGGGACTCTCTTGCAATAGAGCCACCAACTATATTTTTCCTATTTGGTGCTACAGTCCTGTTATCAAAGAAGGCAGGCACTTACATCCAGTACATGCCCAACCACCTCGCTGTTGTCAGGTCACTACTGCCAGAGGAACTCCTTATTTCATGCAATAACCTGAGAGAGTTAAAGGAACACAGGGATCTTCAAAAGAAATGGATCATGGCTAGTCAGTGCAGTTGGATATTTATATGGCATTTTATGTATTGGTAACCCTCAATGCACAGTGAAATTACCAGCTGCATGTTCTTTTTAAGAGCCATATAGACAGATAGATAGATAGATAGATAGATAGACAGATATCATTAAATATCATTACGTATCAGCGACTCCTCCCCCCTTTGTGCTGTCAGTGAACTTGCTGAGGAGGCCTCTGTCCCTTTATACAAGACAGTGATGAACAAGTTTAAACAATACTGGGCCCAGTACTTTACCCTGGGGGACACCACTAGCGACAGGCTATAAAATGCTCCAGGGAGACTTTATTGCAGCCTTGCAGTACTTAAAGGGGGCTTATGAAAATATGGAGGGTGACTCTTTACACGGGCTGGTAGATGGTGATAGGACAAGGAAGAATAGTTTTTAACTAAAAGAGGGGAGCTTTAGATTAGATACTAGGAAGAAGTTCTTTAATGAAAGGGTGGTGAGGTTGTGGATGCCAAATCCCTTGGAAGCATTCAAGGCCAGGTTGGATGGGGTCCTGTGCAACCTGATCCAGCTAGGTGACATCCCTGCCCATGGGGTCGAGGTGGGAACTACATGATCTGTAAGTTCTTTTGCAACACAAAACATTCTATTATTATATGATTTCATAATATTCTAGGAAAGACTGGTGGAACATGCTTCTGGGAAGTTTTGAGGTGTCTGAGGAGAGGACAACATCCCTGGAATGGGCCAGATTGAACAACTTGAGGTTTTATGTGTGTGCTCAGTACATGAGTCTGAAATGAGTTGTAGTAGGTAGATAGATGAAGAAATTTTTTTCAGATTGAGTATTTTATGTCCTTTCTCCACTGTTACTGCTGTGGTTTAGCTTGTCCGTAAATTTAACACCCTCAGTGGTAGTGAGTTGAAGAACAACCATTGGATGTGCTGAATGAGTCATTTCCTCCTCCCAGTCATTTGATGCTCTCTCCACCTGAAGGGCTCTGTAACATTCCTGTCTCTATTTTATTTCCAGGTTTAATCTGCACAGGCAGCATGTTGCTGCTTCCAGTCCTTCTTGCAACTTTATTTTGGTCCCGTAAGCTCTTTTTTCCTTTCCTCTCTTCTTCCTGTGTACAGTGAATACAGTCCTGATTCCAAACTCCAAATTATGTGAGCTTATCCCTCACATAATTTTTCTGCTTCCACTTCCAGGTGGAGACATGCAGTCAGCGCCAGTGCAAACCCCAGAGATGCACCATCAGATGAAGGGCAGATCTGCCAGCATGTCATGCCGACTGATGAACGAAGACATTGTGCACTGGTACAAGCAGCTTCCTGGAGAGCCACCAAAGAGGATACTGTACCTGTCAAGACATACATCTGTTTTTGATGACGGCAATGATAGAAATAGATTTGAAGTTCGAAAGGATGCTACTCAGCCCCTATATGGTCTCACAATAAAATCTTTAACCCCAAGGGATTCTGGCACTTACTACTGTGCATATTGGCACTACACCACAGCATTAGTTGATCAAAGATAAGCCATACAAAAAGATACTTTGTGCTTTGAACCACAAGCTCTGAACTCTGCAGCAGGAGAGGAAAAACAGCATCTTATGAAAACTATTAAATATATAGTGTTAACAATCACCATATCACTTCAGTATTCACATGTATCTGCAACATCCAGAAACTGGAGTCTTCCCGTCTCTTAAAGGTAGATATATGAAACACTGCTCTTAAAATGAAGGCTTAATTTTACTGAAAGCACTCACCTGACGGTGAACACAGCCAGTCTCTGTGTGGGAGCTATAAATCTCTTCTCTGTTAAAATACTAGCAAGCAGAGCAATGTCTCCATCCCCTCAGTGCTTTCTTTTGAAAAAAAAAAAGACAGGAATACGAAAGAGGGAGAGAAGACCAGATGATCTTGCACATCCTTCTTCATATTTTTCTTTTGTCTTCCTTTGCATTTCAGTCACTACAAATTCCTACAATAGCCCAGAAGACCTATTTTTATTGTCACAATTCCTCACCTGATGTGTCCAAGATATAACTGAAATCCTCAGCCATGAGCTATGCCCCAGGCAAGCAGAGCCTCTCAGAGCCTTTGGGTTAAGTGTACTGAGTTTTACAAATCAAATTCCATAATCACACATTGGTTCTAGGAAAGATGACATTTTCCTGAAAGCTGGTCAGAACACTGATATACTTTTATGTCTTCAAGTTTCTGAACTAGGTTAGAGTGCACATGTTCAATATCCTTTGAGATATTCCTCTAATGCATCGGGACCTTAAAAATGGAGCCCAAATATCTCCATGGTGGTGGGTTTACAGCTCCACAGGCTCAACTGAACACTGTTTTTGCTCAACTTTCTGTGTGATTTGAGTCTATAATGTCTTGCTATAGATGTTTCTGTCCTCCTCAACTATTTGAAACACAGGTTGGACTGCATGTGACCTCAGATATTAACTCAGATATTAACTTTTGTCTTTGTATCCTTTGGATCTGAGGATTTCTCACAACCAAAGAGGTTTCTGGACGGAGTTGAGAGCAACTTCCTGACACAGGTGATTGAGCAGCCAACAAAAAAGTGCTCTGCTGGACCTCCAACTCACAGACAGTGGAGAGCTTGTTGAGGATGGAAAGGTCAGGGCCAGCCTTGGCTGCAGTGACCATGAGCCACTGGAGCTCAGACTCCTGAGAGAAGACAGCAGAGCAAAAGGCAGGACCTCAACCCTGGACTTCAGGGGAGCAGACTTTAAAGTTCTTCAGAGATCTGCTTGGAAGAGTCCTTTTGGATACAACCCTGGAGAGAAGAGGTGTCCAAGAGAGCTGGTTGGTATTCAAGAGTCTCCTCCAAGCTCAAGAAGGGTCCATCCTGAGAACTAGAAAATCAAGTAGAAGCAGTAGGACTCCCTCATGGATGAGCAAAAAGCTACTGACTGAATTTAGGCATAAAAATGAAGTGTGCAAGAGGTAGAAGCATAGGCTGGTGATCCAGGGCCTGCTGTTCAACTATGCAGGGATTTCAGGAAAAAAATAGCCCAGCTTGAATTGAATTTGGCAAATGATGTAAAGGGGAACAAGAAAGGATTATACAAATACAACAGCAGCAAAAGAAGGACAAGGGAAAGCTGCTAAGTAGGGCAGGGAAACTGGTGATAAATGACATGGGAAAGCCTGGGGTACTCAGTATTTCGTTTGCCTCAGTATTCACACTTAAGAATGGCCTCCAGGAATCCCAGGCCCCTGAGATCAGACGTAAAGTCTGGAGCAAGAAAGACATACCCTTTGGTGGAGGAGGATGAGGTTACTGAGCACTTAAACTGAACACACATAAGTTTTTGGCGCCTGGTGGGATGCACCCACAAGTGCTGAGCAAGCTGGCCAATGCCTCTGCAAAGACTCTCACTTGTCTTTGAAAGCTCACAACAACCAATACGGGTTCTTGAAGACCAGAAGAAAGCAAATGTCACTCCTATTTTCAAGAAAGATAAAAAGGAAGACCTGGGTAACTACAGGCAGGCTAGCCCTATCTCAATCCCTGGGAAGATGATGGAACAACTAATTCTGGAAACCATTTACAAACAGAGGAAGATAAAGACAGACAGGATTAGTAGCATTGGTCAGGATTAGTAGCATTGATTTACAAAGGGGAAGCTATTTAGATAGCTTTAGATCCTGAAGCACTCTACAAAGGCTTGGATTTTGGCCATTTCATCTCTGACAAGTCTATTTAGTGATAATTTGAACCTGGAAAGTTATTTTGTAGAACACTATTCTAGCCACTGCATGTGTTCTCTTGGCATAGACACCATTATGTTTGGTCTGTAATTATTCCTACTGGGAGACTTACTGTGTTAGAAAGCTACAGTACAAAACCTAGATAGTCTGTAAATTGGGCATTTAATCACTGACGCAATCACTGCCATATTTCTTTAGTCTTCATCTGGGATCAGGTGCCTGGGATAATTCTGCTGTGTGATCAGAAGAATATCAATGTACTGCTACTGTTTCATGCATGGCAGTTTTTTGCAACATGGGCTTGATTTCAGGTCCTCAACATACAATTGACAGTGCAGTTTTCTCTCTGATTAACTGCAGTTGCCCACGCGGGAGACTGTCATGGGATGCTGCTGAGATGAACGATCTTTTCCTTGACCCTCCTCCCCACTTCACCTTAAAATCTGTTTATCAGTTCTCTCTTCCTTGTCACTTTGTTATGTTCTGCCAGTCTTTAAGTAATTTCTCCTTCTCACCTACCTCAGGGTGGCCAGACACAAAATTAAACAGGCTTTCCTATTGGGAATAAGGGGACCCTTTCCATTGCCTCCACAGAGACAGGTGTCTCTCCTAGCCTGACTCTTCCTGGAACCCTGCATTCACAGGCACCTTTCCAAAGCACTTAGCAATGTGTGCTTACCACCAGCTCACTCCATGTAGCCAGCTGCCAGCAGAAGGGAGGTTGAACAAATTCATTTCCTTCGTGCCTGGTGAGTTGCAGCCCGGGCACACCAATCACAGGGGAGTTCCTCACAGCACCAGACCGTCTCATTAAGAAGTCTCTCTACCACGGCTGTTGACAGCAGCTTCTCTCTTTTGCTTTCCAGTCTTTTTTCCAGTGAGTGTTTGCATCTCAGCTGAGCTTAGAAACTGAAATCCTGCAGCTGTGCATTTCCTCCCACAACCTAAGCCAAAGTGGAGGCAAGTCCCTGCCATGCAGCTGCCCTGGTTGCTGCAGGCTGATGGCCTCAGCTGCCTTGGTGGAGGGCACCAGCTGCACAGGGGCACTCCAGGCACTTTTGTACTCTGCAGCTACATGACTAAGGTGAAGCAGCAAAGGGTGGTTCCTGACAGGATGGGGGAATGCCTCCCACCCACTCAGACACTGTGCACCTCTCTGCACCCCTCAGGTGATGGTACGCACACACTGCCCACCAGAGTCACCTCCAGGCTGATACCTTCACTCCACAATACATAGCTGCTCTCACTTGCAACCTTTTCTCGGTTGCTCTGACTCGAGTTTTATAGGGCCACCATCCTTGGATTTACCAATGTTTTTCATATTTACTTGGAAAGCAGACAGGACTACAGGCTTTTAACCAATTTTAGCATGTGGCAGCCTGGAGAGGGTTTTCTGAAAAGGCACCCCATCCTCTTGCACACAGAAAACCCATTGCTGAAGATCGTTCAAAAGAGTTACCTCCTCCTTCCACACAACACAGTCCCTCCCCAGCTGGCATCCCTTTCACTCTCTTCTGAGTCTCAACAAGAGCAGAGTGTGGCAAGCAAACATGCTGCTGCTGGCAGTGCTTGTTGCCACAGCCACTTGGTCTTGTAAGTACGTCCTTCTTATTCTATCTTTCCTCACAGGCACTCATGGCTATGCTAACAGGCATCTTTCAGTGAATTCCAGCTAATTACATTATTTCTCCTTTTTCCTAGATGGATTTGCACAGGAAATTCCCATGCAGAGTCCTATATCCATCACCAAGTTCCAAAAAAGTGCACGAATGACATGTGAAATTCAAACATTAGGGGCAAATTTTGATGGTGCCGTCATACACTGGTATCTGCAGAAGGAGGGTGAAGCTCCAAAGAGGCTCTTGTTCCTTTCAGGAGGAAAAGCTACCGTTGAAACTGGCTTTCAAGCAAGCAGATACATAGTTGAAAGAATTTCTGATCAGCGACGGTGTGTTCTTACAATAAAAGATGTAATTCCAACTGATGCTGCTACTTACTACTGTGCCTACTGGGATCCTCACTGTGATAGAAACTCAAAGATCATCAAGGCAAAAAAACACCTGCAACGTCTGAACCACAAGGTTGTAACTGTGCCATTCCACCAGTCTTCTCACTCCATCTGATGTGAGCTGCTGAAAGGCCAAACCCTTTCCTGCTTCCCAAAGAGAGCAGCTAACCCTGCACAACTGTTCTTTTCAAAGTCTGGGTCATCATTAGGACTCCTGTCTTCAACACACATCCACTATTTTAAGGACAAAGGAAATCGTCACTGCCTTAGGACCTAGCATGTAAATGTTGGACACTCCCCTGCTCCTTTGGTGATGTTTGCACGCCATGGCAGAAGTCTGGTGGCCTTTAGGGGAGCAAACAGAGAAACATTGATTTTCTAGTCCAGCCACTGTTCTCCCCTAAGAAAGAGAAGGCAGCAAAAGCAAAACAACATACTGAAGGAAGTACTACCTTGGTGGATGATAATTGTATACTTAGCACTGCCTATCACATCTGAGTAAAAAGTTCCCCCTTATATTCTTCCCTGTTGTACATGTAAGCAACTGTTAGCCCCTGGAAAAACTGTAAGCCCTGTTTACCTAATTCAGATACCACAAAATCCCACACAGACCAATTTAGATTAGAGATTTACAGTCTCTTATCCGCCACAGCTAATGATGTGCTACGTATAACCATTGCCTTCTTTCATTTCGTGTTAAGACAAATAGAATAAACATCATTTTATTTGAAGAAGGATATTTGCTGAAACTGTCAAGTATGATGGACTCACTTCAAATTTGTATGAAGTTAGTATATGGCCCTGAGCACAGCAACCATTTCACAGAAAAGCATAAGAGGAATAGTTTTTGCTTGTGACTAAAGCCAAGTGTGTGCCTACTCTTCAGCTTTTATTTTCCTGATGAGGGGTGTAATTGGATACTTGAAATGCTGGGGCATCACACAGTATGAGCAATAGGACTTCAGAAGTATCAAGCTAGGTGTGAATAAACACTACACACCAGTATCCTCATGTCTTGAATGTCCTAAATGCAAAGTTTAAGCAGACAAGTGCTCAGTGATTTCATATAATCACATAATCATATACTAATAAAATGGCTTGGGTAGAAAGGGAACTTAAAGGTTGTCCAGTTTTCACCCCCCCACACACCATAGCCAGGGCATCTTCCATTTGATCAGGTTGCTCAGGATGATATCTGTAGGAGCAGCTGGATGGACAACACCAGCCACCTGGATGATAAAAGAAGAAGGAAATACTAAAGCAAAAATATTGTGGTCCTGAGTGAGCCAGAGCTAAGATTAGTGTGTATGTGAAAAGAATCACAAGGTCAAGCTGGAAAGCCATTTGAAGCATGATTGTTCTCTGTGGCTGGAAGCAGTCACATGGGGGTGTGTGGTATGTGGGGAGATAAGGAAACATCTTGCTGGCTGGAGAGCTCGGACCGGGGCTTGGTAGAGAGTCTGTATATAGAGTCTGTTCTAGAGCAAGCAGCAGTCACAAGTATAGAGGCCATGTTGCTGAGAACACAGCTGCGATGGGCAGGGTACGTCTCAAGGATGAAGGACCACTGCCTCCCTAAGATCCTGCTTTATGGTGAACTTGCCATAAAGTGGCATGAGAGGAGCCCTGAAGAAAAGATACAAGGACTCCCTGAAACAACATCTCAGCCTTGGCCATATTGATCAACATAACTGGTCTACTCTGGCCTCAAATCGGGAGGCCTGGAGACACACCATCTATAACGCAGTTGTCTCCTTTGAGAAAGCACGCAGGATCACTCTCGAGGAGAAAAGGCAATGCAGAAAGAACCGTGTCTTGCAGAATACACCACCTAAGGAGTCTTTCTGCTGTGCCTTTTGCAATCGGATATGTCTGTCACGTATTGGCCTCATAAGCCACCAGCGTGCCCGTATCAAATGTGGATAGAGCCTTCCCAAATCTTCGTTCGCGAAGCCTAGCCATGATGATGATGATGAATAAAGTTACAAGAGAGTTCTTCCTGGACAAAGTCTGTCTCCCATGGATTCATTTGCCGCAAACAGTGCAGAGTGAGGGACCTTTTTTCCTACACATATCCAGTCTGGACTTAAACACTTCCAGGGAAGAGATATCCACAGCTTCTCTTGACTGTCTATTCCAGTGCCTCGCATCTTGCACAGTAACGAATTTCTTCCTAACATCTAATCTAAAACTCCTCTCAAGTTCAAAACAGTTCCCCCTTGTCCTATCACTATCTGCCTGTGTAAAAAGCCACTCTTCCTCTTTTTTGTAACCCCCCCTTCAAGTACTGGAAGGGTGCAATGAGGTCTCCCCTGAGCCTTCTCCGGGCTGAACAACGCCAGCTCCCTCAGCCTGTTTTCATAGAAGAGATGTTCCAGCCCTCTGAGCATGTTTGCAGCCTCTGGACCTACTGCAGCAGGTCCACATCTTTCTTGTGCTGAGGACTCTAGACCTGGTCACAGCATTGCAGTTGAGGTCTCACAAGGGTTGAGTAGAGGGGGAGAATCACCTCCCTTGACTTGCTGGCCACCCCTCTTTAGATACAGCACAGGATGCAGTTTTCATAGCACAGGATATGATTGGCCTTCTGGGCTGCAAGTGCACATTGTTGGGTTATATCCAGCCATTGGTCCATGAGAGACCTCAAGTCTTTCTCTGCAGGTCTGCTCTCAAAGCGTTTTTCTCTCAGTCTGGACTCATGTCTGGGATTGCCCTGACCCAGATAAGCACCTTGCACTTGGAGTTGTTAAACCTCATACTGTTCTCCTGGGCTCATTTCTCAAGTCTGTCCACATCCCTATGGATGGCATATTTCACTGTATCCTGTTGTTATTATTAGGGTTAGTCAATGCTGTGATGCACAACTCTTAGCCAAGAATTGGTAATGCCACATCCTGTCTCTGTTCATAGAATCTCATGGCAGCTTTCCAAAGTTTTCTCTTAGTTCAGTGAATACTTTTTTGTTGTTGTTTTCTGCCTTCTGTATGCAGTGGCTTGCAGCATCCAGCACTACTGCACTTGCAGTGGTGCAGGCAACATTGCCATTTTTTTCAAGAAACCTTCCCTTGTGGTCCTGTCATGGTCTCAGAAAGCTTTCTGAAGCAGATCTCATCCTCATCAGAACATGTGTCATCACTATACCCATTATATGATAGTGAAAGTGATGTGGACCATTAAGAGTCCCATTTCCAGCTGTTTCCCTTCCCTTCCTTTCCTTTCCCTTCCCTTCCCTCTGGCTTGATGCACAGGGTCACTAGCTGACAACCGAGTCCACTCTTCCTCCCATGTGGCATTGCTCACTCTGCTCCAGGGCTGGCTTCCTTCTCTTTCTCAACAACAGTAAAGCATGGCATGCTTGTAGCCATAGCTGCTTGGTCTTGGAAGTCATTCCTTATTTTCCTTCCTTTCCTCAAAGGCACCTCTTGCAACCCGCCCCAGAAAGAGGAGGACAACCCAGGTTCTTATTAATAAATCTCTTGGGGTGGATTAGAGTGAAATAGCATTGAATAATCAGTGTTTGTAGGGTTTATTTTGGAAAAATTTTGTTGCATAGGTAAACAAGTATGTTGCTGTTCTGGGTATTATCATCTATAGCAATATAGCACTATTAAAGCATAGCAATATTAAAGCATCTATAGCATCATAACAGTATTAAAACATAGCAACATGGCATTATTAAAACATAAAGATAACACTTAAGGAAATGCATAAGTGAGAGAAAGGGAAAGAAAGGATAAGGGTGGAAAGATATGTATAGTCACTGTCCACTGGATCCAGCGATGAAAGTTGGTAGTTGCACCTTCAATGTCTGTTGATTGAAGCGATGATCTTGCTCTGTTGGGGCTGGGGGAAGCCCCCAAAAAAACTCAAAGATGTTATGAGTTATTACACACTTCTAGCTCAGGTGGGAACATCTTGTGGCGTCCCCGAGGTGGGAAGTTTTTCACTGGATAGTGTCATGGGACATGTCGCTGAGTCTTCAACATCTCCTAAGACAGCTGCAGCTACAGCATCAATCATGGTCCATCATGGTCTGACATTTGAGATGCATAGCCCAGGCTAGATGCGCAGAGTTATCTGTGAAGGAACAAGATTCAGGATGGGAGAGGTTCCAGGCGTGGAGAAAAACATACAGCAATTGACAGGACTTATAAAGACATGGACTTTATAGTTCTTATGTGTTTATAAATATACACATTGTATGTTTCCCCAAGATTTGTATCTCCCGGACATGTCCAGGCATGCCCGCTTCCCTGCTTCCCCACTCCCCTCTCTGACAGGCTGAAGAAGCTGCAGAGAGCAGACAGTTACCATTTGCCCTTTCCTTCCCCGATTCCTCCCACGTTCCTCCCCCTTTGCCTGTGTCCCTACCCCGATTTGTTCCCCTGTTTGTCTGTCTCATGCTCCACCCCATATTCTAGCCCTTTTCCCACCTGAAACTCATAAAACCCCTACACCCCTCAATAAAGTATTCCATTTGCACCTCTACCTTGTCTCTGGACCCATCCGTGCTGTGTCACAGCCCTATCCCCCCTCGGACCGTGGCAGTTATGTAAAGGGAGGACATTGCATGATAAGAGGGATTTCTCACACCTTGCAGGATTTGCCTCTTAGCCTCTTTCCTTACCTGGAAATCCACTTTGTAGTGTCAGGTGTGCATCTGCACCAACTCCCCTGCAACCAGGAGAGTTGGACAGTGGCACCCATTTGTCTGATCTGAAGGTCCTTTGGCAGTATTCAGGGAGGGGTGGGCTTTGTTGCTTCTTGTCAGTTTGTGAAATTCTTTTGGTGATCTTAGAATGTGTAAGTCATTAACTGTTACAGTCTTTTACAGCACCCATGACTGTGCTAACAGGCATCTTCCCAAATCCCTGAATTCTGGTTAATGAATGAACTTTTCCTCTTTTTTTCTAGGTGGCTTTGTGCAAGAAATTCCCATGGAGAGCTCTCTGTCTGTCACCAAGTCTAAACGAAGTGTACGCCTGGAATTGTCCTTTTAAAGGTGACTTTGAAGATTTTGGTCACACCACCATGACAATGTTTGTATCAAAAGAAGGCAAAAAAAGCTTCAGATAAGATTTTCTGCTTCTCAGGTGTAAAAGTAGTAAATGATGACTTCCAAGCATACAGGTACATGACTGAAAACAATTCTAGCCAGAAACTGTATTCTAACAATACACAATGTCGTTCCAGATGACATTGCTACTGACTATTGCCCCCACTGTTACAGTCACTGTAGTAGAAATTCAGACATCAGAGGCTCCCTCAGCGTCTCAACAACAAATAACTTGAAAGATCCCAGTGTGCTTCCTTTGGTGTGGATGAGCCATCTGGTGCAGATGCAGGCTGTGGAATAACAGGATATAGTCAGTGCTGACTGATCCCTTGGAAGCATCAGCTGTTGAAAGCTCAAGATTTTGACTTAGCAAGGGCAAATGGAACAGTAAAGGTTCAACACCTAATCCATCCTCTCCATTCCAGATTCTTCTCCTTATCACTCAGTCATATCAGTGATCTGGTTGTAAGGGTTTATTTAATGGAAAAGGGCATTTTTCCATATTGTTGTTCCTGAAAATAGGCTAGCATGTTGTACTGTGGCTCTTCAAAGAATTTGACCTGACAAAGAAAATTGAAATAGAGAGTTTTAGCCTGAAGGTTCTTAAAAATTTTAAGCAAAGGAAAAGGAGAGTTCTTTTGATTTGCGAGTCAGCAGCTGTCAGAGGAGGAAGATTTTCTATTTATTGACTGAGATCTGGAGGTGGGCATTTTTGTTCTCTTTTTTGGGAGCTGTATCATTGCCTTTCCCCATGTTCTTGTTTATCACTATATGTGTTTCACCGGTGTTGGATCTGAATCATCCAAAAGATTGGAGATAGAGTTAGCAAAGTTAGGAGAAAAAAAAACCAAACAAGGCTTTCCATAGTTAAAACCAACTTTTCCTACTTGTGTTTCATATGCAATGCATCCATCCTAGTTACTGCCTCAAGGTGCATGCTGACCCTAATGCCTGAGAAATTAATCCATAGAGCTTTTTCTCTACCATTAAGCCTCTCCCTAATATTCTCCTTTTGCTGTGAGACCCTGAAAGTCTCCTCTCGTTGTTCATTGAAGTGTAACTCTTTAAAGAATATTAGTCTGATGGGATGAAAAAGTGACATAGTTTCAAATGTGTATTAGGTCTCCAAATGACTGTAAGTCAGTTTTATCCTGCTCATACTTGCAAGCCCAGATCATACAGGGGAGTTGACAAGCTATCTTCAGTATGAAGTGTTTCACTTCAAATGAGACCTTCCAGCTACTCACTGTCATCAACATAAATCCAATAGCACCTGCAACTGCACGTGGTGGTCTCTTTCACTGTGTGTCTAAGGATGTGGCAGGAAAAGCACCGGTTGGCACTATTCTCTCTCTATGTCATTCCTGCCCTTGTTTTGTATTGTGATCTGGATGTTCCTGTCCAGAAGACTTCAGTGTAGACCGCTGCTTTTTTTTACGCCTACTTCAGCTGAAAGACCTTCACCCTCTAGTTCCTCCCTCTAACCTGAAATAGTAATTTCTCAACATAGCTTTGCGGACAGTATGCCACAAGAGATCTCAGAAATACTCTAACTCAGTTTATTTTAAATGCCAAACTAAGCATGCAGGCTGTTTGATTGGCAGAAGTGGTAACTCCTCTGATGTTATCTTGGACTGTTGTATAAGAAACCTCTGCACAAAAGTGTCCTTCTCCCACCAGCTAGTATACGAAAAGCTGCCAGTGAGTTGCTGTAGCAGAGTCTGGAGTGATTCCAAGAGATGGGCAGGCAATAACCACGTCTGAGGGCAGAAAACACAACCTGCAGCATACAGACACCTTCACAATGCTTTTGATGCTCTCTCTCCCTCCTTTCCCTCTGCTGAACTGTATTCAGACAATGAAAAATGAACTCCATGCTAGTAGTACTTGGTGTCACTTAATTGCAAGTGAGAAGGGGTGTAACGCTTTGGGAAAGAGCTGGATTTTCACCTGAAGGTATGTGGGTTTTTACATGCAGAACTCTGTGTACCTATTTGTGTGTCTAAAATCGAAGAAGAACCTTCATCTAATTCTAAGGCATTAAGAGGAGGGGTTATCTTACAAATTTGCAACACTTCAGGGAAGAGATTTGCTCTGAAGGGCATTAGGTATCAGCTGAACATCCAGATACAAGTCTGAAATTCCTGACAGCAGTCGAGGGCCGGGCCTTCGTGCAGACTCCCAGGGATGATGGGGAAAAACTGGGATTTTCTTCATCAATGGTATATCAAGAGAGCATGCTAGCTTATTGCAAAGTGAAAACATGGTGTGGAGCACCTGGATCAAATACTTCGGCATGGGAACAAAGCTCATTGTCTCTAGTAAGTACCATTATCATTGAACTGATTTTTGCAGAATCATTCAGATTCTCAGAAAATTAAGAATGAAAGACTGTAGGAAAATTAATTTCTCCCTGATAAATTGTGGGGTTTTGTTAACTGTGCATTGTGCCCCATTTGGGTGGGTTGATGACAAATAAATATATCAACCTCGTTAATATAGATTACCTCTAGAACAAGTACTGAATATTTATAAAGGATGGGGGAATGGAAAAGTGAGGAGGGGTAAAAATTTAAATATTTCAATGGATTAATTTCTGTTTTGGGAATGTTCTTGACAGTTTACTCTCAGAACAGCAAGTGAGAAATGCAAAGAGTTTTTGATTGATAGAAGTCATCCAGTCTAAACCGATTGGGAAGAAAAATTCCCTGAATGTAATAAATTACTAGTTCCTGGCCCTACTGAAAGTAACTTTGTTACTTGTGCATTTGTATTATTCTTAATTGTTGTGAAGCTATGCAATCAATGGGATGAATGCTGGTTTCAGCATAAAGTATATAACAATGCCTACAGTATGTTGCTCAGAAAATACATGGTGTTATCAAGGTGACTATAATTAAGTCAAATTGCAAACAGCTGAGGAGATTTACAGGGAAATTTAAAATGTTATCTATCCATGACTTTGAGCAAAATTTTTCTGAACTTCTTACTCATTACAAAACTTGAAGTATTTCTAAAAATGGTACTCTAGTAAATGTTGAAAATTCAGCTATTGCACTGGGTCAGAGAGAATTTTTTTGTAGCCTATGCAAGAAAAGTGCAGTGCAGGAGATATTGCTAAGCATTATCAGAGTGGGGGATCCTGATGTCAAAATATTTGGAAGTGGAACTGAGCTTACTGTTTCAAGTAAGTACAAAATATAAAACTTAACTACTTCTGAAATGCTTTTCAATACAATTAGATATTGGCTGGCATGAAGTGCTCTGCTATTTTAATTCCCTCTAGTTTTAATCCTTCTGAATTCTTTGCAGGATTTCCCCCTTAAATAGCATTCCATTTGCAGAACACAGTGTAATTGTTTTGTATTTCTGTATTGAAATGGGGGAAGTACAACGGCTATTGCAGCATAGATGTATACTAAACCCAGTATTATTTTCTTTGCAAAGATGAATTTTAATATAGCAAAGAAAGCATTTGGAGAACAGAAAGATGTTTTTGTCTCTAAGTATGCACATTCAACCTTTGTGATATTCCTAATTCATTCTGAAAGAAAGGTATCCAACCTTTGTGCTACTCATATTCTTTGAAAAGCAAAACGTTTTCCTTTAGGACTGTATCTGACTATACCAAATGAAAGTGTTATCTGAGGCATGCCCAAAACGGTTTTAAAGTAGGCATAGTTGACAGGCTGCTCTCTCTTCCTAGCTTTTGCAGAAACTAGTAGTTATTACTGCTATTAAAGAAGAATGCCAAATTCAAAATATTCTGGCATAATTATCAGAACTGTTTTGCTTCAAGTAAACTTCAGGTGCTCTGATACTTGCCTGGGATTTGGCTCAGCTAAGCATCTGAGATGAAAAGAGTTTGCCTAATTTTGACCCACTGGTATATCTGGTTAGTGGGAGTTTTGATTCCAATCAATGCAGGGTCTTGCTTCATGTTATGGACAACAAAAATATTGGCTGGTGGTCTCACGCTATGCAGATCTCTGCATAATGTTCACCATTTCTAGGTCTGATTTTATGGGGGTGTATAAGGAGCAAATTACTTCGCCGATATCTGATCAAATAGATCTTCTGATGATGATACCCCTTTCCAGAAAGCAGAGATGGAGCCAAGGCGCTCAGTCTGCATCATCCACCTATACTTTGGGAAAACTCAAATTAGTTGAGATGAATCCTGTCCATTTAACAACATACCTACCCTCAAAAAACTACACACCTTTTTTTTTTTTACTTTACTTTAGGTGAATGCTCTTTTTTTTACTTCACTAGGGTCTAAAAATTGATTATATAGCAAATCTGATTTTCTTTAAAGAATATTATTTACCCATGTAAACACAACAGATATTGTAAAGACTTTATTCACTGTGATTGGTTATTACAACAAGGTGTTTGGCTCAGGTACAAAACTCATTGTGTCAGGTAAGTTGCATGTTATATTCATACAATTCATACAATAAGCTATAGGAACCTGGAGTGGTCATATAGATGTATTATACTGTCTCAGAGTTGGCACCATCCTTGCACAGGATTCTCCTCTCCAGCTCGCCATTCCTACTTTGAGCCTTGTGGTATTTGCAACGCAGTCATTTAGGATCACAAACATATCTGAAAAAGAGCTATTTTGAGCCAGTTTTGATCATAGTTCTCCTAGAATCTGGTGGAAAAAGGCTTGTAATAGTTTCCAGAGCCCTTGTTCTTTCCTCCAGCTGTGCTGAAGGAATTAGCAGGGAATCAAGCAGCTGTGAATTAAGCATTAAAAAAGAAAACCTCTTCTTAATACAGATACAAAGAGCAGTATGCAACAGTCATTGCAAAAATTTTTTTTTTTAGTTAGGCTAGCAAAAGTGAAGTAACTTGTCCGTAATTATTTTTCGCATATGCTGCACTTTGGCAATAGAAATAAATTAGTGCCTCCAAATGCTCTTCTCATTGCTTAATAACTACTTGATAGCAAAGTTATTAAGTTAATAATAAATTAATTAATTAATCAGCATTAATTATGCTGAATTACTGCTTAATAATTGCTTAATGAAGAAATGATCTTTTTTTACCTTTCCTGCAGAGACATTTATTTTAATGGAAGGTGGAAGACAAAAATATTTTTCACACTAGATGTGCTTTAAATGCCATAATCCTGAAGTAAACAACAACACAGAAACAGAGCAGAGGAACTACTGCTACCAAATGTTTTAAGCCTGGCTAAATACATAAACATATGTTAGTATATGAAGCAAAGATTGGTTCTAATGATTTATGCCAGAAAGACTAACTAAATCATACCTACAGTTCAATGGAAATATCTGTGGCATGTTGGTTTTAGTGAAAATCCTTGCCTTATTAATCAAGTAATTGCCATGCTTTTTGTATCTACAGTTTAATATATTTTCAAGCATCACTCTAATTCTGTAGGATTTTGTCTCTATGCGGACAAGGATTCTGAATCATTAATAGAGTAAGAGGGTTGTAGTTACTTCACACTTAAGATCGTTAAGGAATTGAGAAAACCAGGACTTAGGATAAGGCTCTTTGGGAATAGCATCATTAGCTGAGACTGAATCCAAATATTCTGCATTCATGTAGCCAAATAGACTCCTACTGTTTGTATGATAGTTCTTAAACATGGTACTTTTCCAGCCAAAATCACAGAATCATAGAATTACCTGGGAGGGAAGGGACCTTAAAGATCACCTAGTTCAAACCCTGAGCCGTGGGCAGAAAAACCTTTCACTAGACCAGGTTGCTCAGAGCTCTGTCCAACCTGGCCTTAAACACTTCCAGAGATGGGGCATCTGCAGCTTCTCTGGGCAACCTGTTCCAGTGTCTCACTATTCTCACAGTAAAGAATTTTTTTCTGCTATCTAATCTATACCTACTCTCTTTTAGTTTGGATCCATTCCCTCTTGTCCTGTCACTACATGCTGTAGTAAAAGTCCCTCTCCATCTTGTCGAATCCCTTCAGGCACTGGAAGGCTGCAATTAGGTCACCCTGAAGCCTTCTCTTCTCCAGCCTGAACAATCTAAGTTCTCTCAACCTTTCCTCATAGGAGAGGTGCTCCATCCCTGTAATTGTCTTGGTGGCCCTCCTTTGGACTCGCTCCTACTGGTCCATGTCTTTCCAGTGCTGAGGACCCCATAGCTGGACACAGCTCTACAGGTGGAGTATCACCAGAGTGGGTTAGAGGGACAGAATCACCTCCCTCAACCTGCTGGGCATGCTGCTTTTAATGCAGCCCAGGACACAATTCACTTTCTGGGCTGCAAGTGCACATTGCTGGTTCATGTCCAGCCCCTCATCCACCAGCACCCCCAGGTCTTTCTCAGCAGGTCTGCTCTTGTTCTGTTCATCTCCCAGCCTGTGTTGATACTGGGGGTTACCCTAAACCAAGTCCAGCATCTTGCACTTGGTCTTATTAAACTTCATGAGATTCCCATGGGCCCATTTCTTGAGCTTGTCCAGGTCTCTCTGGATGGCATTCTATCCTTCAGACCGCAGTTTCTGTAATGGAATGTACCATTGTGGAATGGTATTTGCTATTTGGTTCTGGCACAAAACTTATCGTCTCCAGTAAGTGTTTTCAAAATCTTATATTTTTAAAAGTTCTGTAACGGGAAAGCTTTGGAAGGAAGTCAGATGGATTTTTAAGGTATCTGGGGAGGCTCACCATAGGGACTACACTACATTATTACCAATTAAAATACCTGAAATCTCTATCAAGCAGGACAAGAATGCTGTTTATGAGCTGAGTGTGCTGAATGCCCTCAGCTCCCCCTGGCTTGAAGGGGAATAGAGGAGCTTTGAGCATTGGACAAAATTAATCCATTTTGTGGGATCATCCAAGTAATAAGAATTAAAATTTCAGCTTAAGAACACAGTGACATTATTTATAAATCATATTTCTAGATACTTTTAAGGAAACCATAGAGGAGTTTCATTAAGAAAACTTTTGACAGCTAATCTATAAAAACATCTATTTTGAACTTAAATATTTAATAACTTTGATTTAATAACAATTTAATAAAATTGATTACAAACCTAACACCAGAATTTTATTTGTACAATGTTTTGCAGTCCCATTGCATTGTTACAAGAGAGAAAAGACAGATTTTAGCTTAAGAAATATATGTTCATGCTTATATACTATTTAAAAAAGTAAAACCTATATACCTCTTAAAACCTGCCTCCGAAAATTGTTTAACAAGGTAAACAGCAACATTTTTGAATGTTTAACTAAACCAAAAATGACAGTGAAGTTTAAAGTTCATTACTGTAAAATTCTTCAGAAAGAATCAGATAATTTGCCCAGAAAAGCCAGTGTAAACTGTCTTATTGACTTCAATGACTTTACAGATCAGCCTGAAATTACATCAAAGCCTACAGCCAATTCTACAAGTTTTAACCTTTTTTTTTTCCAGAAATGTACCTACAAAGATATTTTTCTCACATGTAAACATGTATATATGCAAAACTTAATTCGTTCAGTTCTCCACTGTCATCCATTTACCTGTGTATGTACATGCACATACACAACTGGAGTTATTCAAGCAATTGTACTCAGCACATTTCCTCAGTACAGTGGTATGATTTATGTGTTTTATTTAAGCTAAGCATCTAGGGTCTTTTTATGGCAAATGGAAAGATACTGGCAATTCCAGAGGTGGAAATTATTCTGTCTTAACAGAAGTCTCTAAGCAGCTGGAAGCATCTCTCTCACTTCTCTATTTAGACTTGACAATCCAGAACAATGTCAAACTAGCCAATTATATTTTAGCCTGATGGAATTAATCAGGACAACTTACTAAGCTTCGAGGCTTTGCGGAGTGCAATGTCATTAGGACAAGAGCTACTTCATGGTCTTCTGAACATATATAACTCTGGAACAAATAATAATTTTAGAAATTACTTTAATTTCCATCCGTGGGAGAACTGATGCATAAAGAATATGAAATTAATTCCTAAGTTAATGTTAGAGAACCATAATATTGTTCACAATTTTACTTCTGGTACAACAGAACTCTGTCCACATCGTCATTTCACTGACAAATCTCCGAAACTAAGGAAATTCTTAATAGAGGGTTATCCTTTTGAAGGTAGAAATGTCATCTTTGTTTTTAAACACCAAGTCTGAAATACTTCAAAAAATCACTGAGTTGTTTTAGGGGAGATACAATGTAGAAGATTGCTCTAAAATAGACAGATCATTTAAGGAAAGGTGGAAGCTTTTTGACAAAAATACATTTTTATATTAATATGCTTTCTCCCAGTGCACCACTGCACCACTCAGTCAGACCACAATGTAAACCCTGTGCATCCACTTGCTCAAATTCAGTAGCAGAGATTTACATAGGAATCTAAAGACAAAAACCGGTGTAGGGAGAGGAACACCTAAAATGCCTCTGCTGCCTTAAAAAAATAGTCTTAACCAATTCTTTCTATACAATGAAAGTCAATTTTGAAAACTGTATCCAATCTTCACTTGCAGTTAAGCATAGAAAAAAATGATTGCCTGTGGGCACTGCCTATTCAGTCACTGCAGAAGCTCATGTTGAACTAAAGCAGATTCTAAAATTTACTATCCACTTAAATAATATCAAAATGTCATCTCTGTGTGGACAAAATCTCGATGATTTTGACTCTTCCTAATAACATACATCTTAATCCAGAGAGGCAAACAAAACAGAGATTACCTACAGTTAAATTGTGGAAACAGCTCATTTTTAATTTAAAATATATTCATGTATCTTCATACTGAACATACAAAGCACATCACCTACAACAACCCTGGGATGGCTTAGATATGCTGTTTAGATGTAGAAATGTTATCTAGATATAGCATATTCTACTGCTTTAGTTTAGTTTTGGTTTTTCTGTTTCAGATGTGTTAATTAAATAATTTAAACTGATCTAGTATTAAAGGAATGGCATTGCCAAACTTTGGTGTTCAGAGGATTTTGCGATTCCTTTTTCCTGTCTTGATAAAGATTTTCACCTGGCAAATACATGGAATGCCTTAAAATAGAAAGGCAATAATAAATTCCCCCCCCCCCCCCCCCCCCCGAAAACAATCTCAAAAGTAATATTGGCTTCTAAAATTTAATTAGATATAGCAAATGTTTATTAATTAGCAGTGGGGACTTACACTGGGGACATAAAACTGCAAAGATTTGAAAGGCAAGTTATCTACCTTTAATATTCTGTAGACAACATTTTCATGTACTTGTTTTTGCACAAATATTATAAAGCAATATTAAATTACTTTTACTGAATAAATGAACAAATATCTTTCAGGAAATATAACTGTTACTTAATAATTGTCAAGAGTGGAGCAGATAGTGCACTGATGGCAGTACTGCTTGGAAGGTTGTGGGTATACAGGCTATCAGGTAGCTGCCTGGAATTTTCTAATTCAGTTTCAAGAGATTAATAGCTATTAATATCTTCAACAGTATTTCAGTTTTTCAACGTTTCTCAAAAGAGCATTCACATTTGTTATGGGCATTTTAACACTTGTTAATAAGGCATTTATTTTGCTGTTCTTCAGAATTTGTATTTTGTGGCTGTGTGTTTATTTGCTGTACACTATTGATCTTTCAAATCTCTTTTTTTAATTTTCTTCCCTCCATAACCAATCCAGACAAAGGAAGCTCTCCACCAGCAAACTCGGAAATCCTGCAGAAAAAACATGAAAATCAGATAATGTATGTTTGTCTTATTGAGAAATTCTACCCAGAAGTTATTCGAGTGACCTGGACTGATGAAGAAAAGGAGATAACAGAAAATGTAGTAAAAGGTGATGCTTGGCAACCCACAGAAGAGGATGAATACTCAATTGCCACCTGGTTAACTGTACCAGCAGACAACAAAGACAAGAAATATTACTGCAAATATGAGCATGAAAGCCAAAAGAATTCACTGCCATCACAAGGTATATGCAAGATGTTAAAAATTTAGTTCTACGAATCATTAGAGACATCCTTTTTCTTTGCAATAAAATTAGAGAAATGGGGCTTTCCACTACTGCTTCAGAAGACATCTGTGCTCCTTGGCACAGCAATAGCTAAAATACGCAACTGGAAAAACTACCAAAATTTCCCCAGGAAAAGCAACTCAGCCTGTGCTATGCTCCCCAAGTGAGCATGCCTTTGTAACAGAAAAATAACAGTTATTGTACCTCATCAGGTGTAAACAAGCATAGCTACAAAAGGTCTGCACTGAAGCACATCAGTTACTTTCCAGTTTACAGAAGTTACTGTGAAAATAGTAACACCTCTCATGGCTTACAGGTTTAAGTCCCTCTGACACCCCCTGACATTAGTCATAGCTATAAAAAACTAACAAGTTAAAAACGAGGTTGCTGAGGATGTAGAACAAAATTTAAATATATTACTTACTCATAGTCCAGAAATAGTGAGATAATAACCATGTATAAGAATAAGATTTTGTGTTTAATTGTGGAAAGATTGATAATGCAAAGCAAAATCTGAAAGACAATGCAGCTTTAAAGAAAAAGTAACTTATATTCAATGCAAATTGTTTAAATCATGGTAATAATTATTTAAAAAGTGATCTAAATTGGTTTAAGTAAATATTTTCTCCATACCTACCTCTGCTTAACTTACTATAAATTCACGTAACTCCAGTGAGTGAGAGCATAGCCATAAATAAACATTACATTTCAACCTTCAAAATATATTCTGACAAAAATATGCTTTAAGCTTATTTTGATGGAAGATGGACTTAGAGATGCAATATGGATTTCTTTAAGCCCATATATCTATGCATAGAAACAACATAAAAAAGAATAAACACAAATTTGCTACTTCAAGAACTAAAAGGGTGTATTTTAGAGAAAAATCATCTCCAAAATAGCAAATTCCCAATAGGGAAACCTTAGATCATACACTCCTCAATATTATTCTTTTGTGATGAACAACCATTAACATACTAATTGAAGTCCCTTCCAAAGTAAATTATTCTGCATTTCTAATAACAGTAAATTGTGAAGGCAATCAAACTCCAGCTTCTTCAATAACAAGATCAGCTGGTCAAACTGACTCCAGTTTCAAGTAAAAGAGACTGCTAAGGAACAGCCTGATGGACACATTCCTGAAAGGGCAGAGACACATCTCCCAGTTATGGCAAAAAATACCCAGTCACTTCTCTTCCAGCATTTCTCCTCTTCAAATTCTCTCTGCAAATGAATCCTACTTGTGAATATCTGCTCTGCAAACTGATCTTAAGCATCCTTTTTTGTTATGTAGCACTAACTTCCCATCTCCTTGTTGCTCTACTGCCCCTCTATTTCTCAATTAAAGAAAAGCCTAACTAGGGCATTTAAACTCTCTTTCCAGTAAATTCTACGAAGAATGCTCCTCAGGAAGGGGACTGCAGCGCAATTTTTAATAGAGGTAATTTAATGTATTAAAATGTGGGAAAGTGGTGCATGTCGTGCAAGAGATAGCTATTGCTACGTATGCTCAGAACATCACAAAAATTATCTTTCAAAATAGTGTAAATAGTGCTTTTAAGTCTGGAGTCTGCCACTTAAAAACACTTCACTGCTACTCTGAACTAACTTTTGTTTTGGGTTATAAGGGGACCTCCTATCTTTATTAGGTAGCTTTATTAGGAGTTTTATTAGGATGCTACAGATGCTGTTTGGGCTATTAGCCCGCATTAATTGCCACTTTATTAAACACCTGGAGTAGTGAAATGTTAAACACTTCAGCTGATGCTTCATCAGCCTAGCAATTGCCCAGCACTTCGGACAAATGAATTGTTTTTTTAGCTCGAATGGGGTTTTAGGAAGAATTATGAGCACCTATGTTCAAAAAATCCAACACAAAAGGATTCAAACAAATGTGGTGCTACTGGTAATAAGTGCTGGAAGCACTACAATTATGTTCTTGCCTTTGCAAGGAATAATAACCCAGAGGCATGGGCTAAGAAGCTCACTTGGGCTTGAACTTGTTAGCAGTAAAAACCCACTCGAAGGACAGTCAGATATTGTACTTGCCACTGGTGTCAACGTAATTGCAGCACTAAACTGACTACATAGTCCCAGTTCTACCCATCTTTTAGGAGGCTGTACAATACTGACATTAAACAATACTTTTCTGTCTTATGTTATGATTACAGATGTTACGTTTCCAGATGTTACGCTTCCAGATCACTTAATGCACAGGACAGCATATTTAGTGTACATCATCCTTCTTCTGAAGAGCAACATGTACTATCTTATCATACTCTTCTTCATCTACAGAATGCGAACTCCAACCAAGCACCAAGGAAAGAAGGTGTAAATGCTTGTTTAAGAAAGGTTACAAATTGATCGTGGATTTACTTTGCTTACCTATATAGACTCCCCTGCTCTGTATTAGATGTAACAGCAAAAAAAAAAAAAATCCCAAAATAATTTTCTGGCATTACTGCATAGGGCTCATTTCGCTTTATTGCTAGTGTTTTTATATCAGTCTGGTTTTCCTAATTTTTTTGAATATCAAACAAGGATAGGCAATAGCAGTAATGGATTTTAATCCAAAGTCCATATTGCAAAATGAAGAAGGTACTCAGATTGGAAGTAGTTATGCATGCAGAAGAGTAGGGATGCAATGGTACTTTTGATATATAAAGCACAGATGGGTTTTGTCATTGCACTTAAGGTTTAATTAGGAGCGTTCCCGTGCAGTAAATTCACAGATATTTTTCATTTTTATTTTCAATGATTTGTTGCCACTCTCATTTATCCAACAAATAAGGACTTAATTATTCTGAAGTGATGAGTGCTTTAAGAGACAATTAAACATAATTTTTAAAAGTGAACATAGGAGTTTTGAATGAAGAAGTCAGATGAGAATAAAAGCAACTGTAAGGTGCGTGCATACAGAAAATGAAGAAATCCACCAGCACTGTGACAGTCTGAAAATCTGCACATTGTGTTTTTAAAGAGAGAAACCAATCGTAATTATCATATACATCACCTTGTTTAAAGACACCTTTTTAAATTGAGCAAAACCTCAAATCTGAAGCTTTGATAGAGAAAGTATTTTCCCAAAGAAGAGAAATTCTCAGATGTTGGACTTTGAACTCTTAATCTCCAAGTTCCACAAATCAGTTCCTTTCAAGTTTATGCAGAAAAATAGGAATTAGACATACTGGGATAAAGCACTTGCTCAGTTTTTGTCATACGTCTGTTGATAAGTGCTTGCAGCATTTACACTCACTGCATCTTTAATGATGAGAGCAATAAAAGCTTTCCTCCAGCCGCAGTTGTGAGGTCTCTGTTTGTTCTCCAGAATTTCCACAGCCTGTATAAAGATGCCTAGAAAATTTGATTCATTTCTCTGTTCATATAAATTTCTCAGGAAATCAAAGATCCTTAAAACATTAATTTTCTGCTTTTCAGTTAAACAGGAACACTTTTACAGAGAACAATAAAAGCTAATCTGTTACATTTTTTCTGTTGCAAAACAGAAAGCTAGGCTTTGTAAAACGGAGCTAAGCCAAGCCAGGGGGAAATGTTACATACAAAAGGACTGCCTGCCTCCTAGGGCTCATGCCATCTCCATCACAAGGGAACAAAAGTATGTCAGGCTCAGTTCTAACAACCACAGCTATTTTGTTAATGGCATATCTTACAAGTTATTTTACAATCTGTATATTGAAGCCAAAACACCGAATTACTGCCTTAAATGTCATGTTACTCTTCAGTGCAAAGAAAGACGTGATTTCTAATCTTCAGTCAAACTCTGTTTGAGAAATGGCTGGGATTCCGTGCTATTATTTATTAAGGTTTGGTTCTGGTCAGAGCAAAACAGAACAGCTACAAAGGCATTTTTGGGATGTGGTTACTACGGATTTCAGTAGCACCATGGATACTACCTGGATATTACATGGATCTCCCCTACCTTTATCCCTGCTAGAGAAATGCTTGATTGAATAAATGGACCAAGATCTCTCTCACTGAAATGACCCCCAAATCCACTTTTTGTGTCTCCTAAACAAAACTGAAAGATGTCATCCATGCAGTATAGGAAAACAGAGAGAAAACTGTTTTAGCTTTTTTCACATATAAAACCCTTGCCTACACGCAACCCTAAACCATGTTGAGCATAGCTATCACCTCACAGTTTCTGTTTTTTTTTCTAAATGCTTGGCTGCAAGGTTTTACATCTTGCAACAGCTCACATTATTTATAGAAATGTACACTATTCATACTAAGTTTTTAATTCTCATTTATTTAGCCCAAACAAGAGGACAAGTAGATTTTTAAGGCTTCTGGGTGCTGGGGCATTTGTTTGCAGGAAGGTTTGGTTATTTAGTGGAAAAACCCCATAAACTGAACCAGTCACAACTGGCTCTGAGGAGGTGGGCTGCGATGAGAATGGGTGATTCGCTGAGGACAGTTAGACCACAGCCGTCCTGCCTTCTACCACAGTATGCTTCTAAACCATTTCCTTCCAATGCAAATAAAAAGTTACAAAAACCACAAATGCCTAAGTTATGTGTAAATATCACTGTGAAACTCACTGTTTGCTACACATGTTGGTCTAACTGCATGCTTGTGATACGCAGGGACTATTCATACCACAATAACACGGGTGCTATGGGGTGTCTGCGGGACTTTCAGTCTTACTTATCATGACTGCAAAACAGAGGTAGATGTTTTCTATTAAGTGTAGACTTCTGTTGTTGGGACTTTCAAATTGAAAGACATGTCTTCTCAAATATAAATCTTACTACAACTGATTTTCAGTGATTTGAAGCTTCTACAAGTATGAGCGCTACTACAGCTGCTTTACTGCTACAGAGTTGCAGAATTAATGTACATACTACAAAAATGGTTACAGGCAATGTGGTGCTTCTAATGAAAAGAAGACAGAACATGATCAACTTTTGCGATGAAAGTACAAAGAAGTAATTAGCACAAATGAGTTGTTGTGTAAAGTATGAGAAATAAAAATACAGTTTTTATATATATAGGCATGTCATGAAGTTGTAAGATATCCAAATTCCACAGACTGAACTTGGGTATCAGGGTCTTTTTTCGGCCAGATAAGGGAAATGTGAAAGTTCTTAAAAATTAAAATCTTTTGGGGCCATGTTGTGCATGAGGTTCCTTTTCTCTTTGAGGTAAGAACAAAGGAAGATCCATCATCTTTGATGGGGTATAGCTTGCAGCCAACTGGGATAAAGGGAAAGCCCCTTTTCAGAGAAAAGAGACCTTTTTAGGCAAAAATTAATAGATTGAACTTATCTGAAAAAGGGTGGGATTTTTGTAAAAATATAAAATGTATAAGTTGTACGCCCAAGGGGTCTTTTCTCCCCAAAACCTCGGTGTGAGACTAGATCCAGTACGCTGAATAAATTTTTTCTTTTTGTTTCATAAGTTTTTGCCGTCTTTCTAAATTCAAGGGAGAAATTTTTCTCACATAAAGGGATTTGCAACATATTCTCTATCTTACTAGAAAAATTTTGTGTCCTATACTACTACTTACACATGTTTGAGAATATCAGAATCTATCAAAACAACCTACAAAGGTGATATGGAAACCTTCCATTGGATTCCTCTCACATGTAGTTGTAAATGAGAAAGATATGCATAATCATAATCTGGCAACCACTAACTTTTATTGATAGTAGGTACTAACACTAACAAATTTTAAGAGAAATTCAAATAGTAGACTATTCAGTTTGAGATTTTGAAACAGTTAGAGTACCAACATAGATCTTAGAAAGTGATGACAAAATAAAAAATCTCAGAGGAACAGTTTGAGTAATTGTTCCTCTGCACCTGTAGATAGTTACAGGGAAATAGATCAAATAATAATTAACATGTTTTATCTAATTAGTCCAAATGATCATTAAATATAGTTTCACCATTTACTTCATTGTATTACCAGTCTCCTGATAAGGTAAACAAGAACATACTTTCCAGTAATTAGTTCCTAAGTAATCTAGTTCCTAAGATTAACCTCAGGAACTACTGAATACATTTTGGACAAATATTTTTATACCACCTGGGAGGTGACCTTATACATGTATGTCAAGAAGGTAAATCGTTGTGACGTACTACAGCGTATGGGAGTAATTCTCTTGGTTTTCTAATTAATAAACTTTCCTAGCAGCTCCACTAGCAAATCCCAAACTTCTCCCAGAGATTTCTTTTACAGAAGTCTGGATGAATGCAGATGAGATTCAAGACAACACATAGGGAAAATGGGAGGGGTCAAAAGGAAAGGTCACCCTCTATTCCAAACAAGCATTAGATTTCAAATTAGGAGCTTCAGCTTCCAAAGATTTCATTCCTACTGCTGTTGGAGCTTTGCCATTTTTGGCAAAATAATCCTGAGAATAAATGAAGCAATTCCCAAAATGAGGAAATTATCTCTCATACACTTCCAAAGCTCACTACAAAAAGATACAGGTTTCTGCTGTGACAAAGTGCTCAAAAGGCTCTGCAAACAAAGCTTAGGTGCTCACAGAGCTGTGCCCAGAAACAGCTCCTCAGGAGGCACTTCTTTGCAGAAAGGTGACCTGCTGGATTAGTAACTTCAGAGAGACTTTTCCTTTCCTGGAATAGCATAACTACCAGCCATTTTGAGGCTCAAATTCTACTATAAAATAACAGGAGAAATAAACTTTCCAGACTGATTTTGAACATGCTACTAACAGAATGATTGTTCAGCAGCCAACACTTCATATCTAGACCCTTTACAATTAATATGAAGTCTCTAATAATTTCATATACTTTAATGTACCCATAAAGGGTGCATAAACCAACACTATTTACTTGACAGCTGCGACAGACTAACAGAAAGAAAGTACGCAAGCTGTTACTGAGGCTCAAGCAGCAGCTTGCCGAGATCTAAGCAATGCTGGTCGCAGGCCCCTCGCCACCACTTGCAATATGATACCTGAATGCACATACAGTATTAACCTGGCTAAACTGTGAGGGACAACACATTAGCTTGCTCAAATCACGTGTGTGGGCAGGGAGGAAAAGAAAGAATAGAAGGAGGGAGAATCAGAAATATCATCCATTTCTACCTTCAAGTACAATCACAGATGTAGGAACAAAAGGAGAACATTTCCTAATGAGCATACAGTTTTCAAAACCTTCTGAATCTTCAACTTAGACTTCTATACCCACAGCAAAAGGCTGGACCTGCTCTTAAAAATGTTAACAGCTTATGTTCTGCAGTTTCAATTTGTTTTTTTGGTGAAAGCACCCTGTTTCCACCAGCCAGCCTTATTACACCAGCTATCAAATCAGTATCATTGCTTATTTTTAACTAAAATACATTTTTTTCCTTTTGAGTCATTAATGTGTTTTCAGTCCGCAGTATTCCCAGGGATCATGCCACTGCATAAGGTTTCAAGAATCTCCATGCAGGAAAGACTGATAGTGCCCAGAGTCCCAGCAGCCTGCCTGGTAAGCAGGTTATTTCATTCACGACCTATATTACTGTAATCCAAGTTTTCCCCCTTCTATTTCCTGTGTCAAAAACAGACCTTAATTTGCAGTGTGCTGGTACTGCACAGCATTATAGTCTTCATTGTCCTGATACCTCATCACCCCTGGACGGAGCTGTAAGTCCCTTACACCAAGACACTGCAAGGTTTCTTACTGTTTTACCGAGTTCTAACTCCTCTTGAAAAAGCTTCTAACATTCTATCTTGAATATGCTCCAGTTCCTAGTAGGTACAGAGCATACCTGCTCATCTTCATATAAGTTTGCAAAATAAATGGAAGCAAACTCCTCAATGCAAGGAAAAACACACAGAATGTGCACATGGGCTTACAAAGGCCATGAAAAATTACAACTGCTTTCTGCCCCGGGGCTGACTATCCTGCTTCTGCAGGCCTCTACTTCTTAGGCAAAAAATCCACTTCCTTCAGAAAGCTTTGGGAAAGACCAGTGCTGAGCTCTGACACACTCCTTCAGTCAAGCTTAAGGGCAAAGCACCAGCCAGACAGCATTTCCACTCTGAACATGCTTTCCAATTCAAAGTTCTGGAAAGAATAAAAATCCCTCTTACAGCAAAGGGTCTTCTCTTTGCAGGAGGGGCAGGGGCAGTGAGCTCAGCTCACTGTCACCTTGACTTGCAGGTGGTCATAAAATGCATCCTGGGATCACATCTTGGAGTGGGTCAAGCTCGTGAGTGACTGGTGTCAGTGGGAGAGCCCAGGGCATGACGGGTGGGGATAAGCTGAGGACTGGTGGGGTGGAAGCTGGAACACTGAGGGGGGAGTAGTTGTGGGGTCACCAGGGGCTGTGGAGCATCCTGGGCCAGGGAATGCCCAGCACCAGTGGGGCCAGGAAAGGGGGCATCAGAGCATACCCTGGGTGGGGGGCACCGGATTCCTGGTGCAGCATCAGCCCCACTGATGGCATTGTGGTCGCCCCCGCAGCCCAACAGTGCCTGTGTGCTCCTAGAACTTATGCTGCTCCTCAGGGTGTCCTCTTATGGTTTCCACATCATCATCATCCAGCTCCTGGACTGATTCAAGCTCCACCACAGCTTCACGCTGGTGATGGAGTGTCCACAGCACTCTCAGGACTTCTACGACATCTGGAGGAGCACGGATTTCTGACAGAGAAGATGGTGCAGGGGCTGTTCCACCAGGTGCTGGAGGTCGTGCAGCACTGCACCAGCCACAGGGTTCTGTACTGCAACGCTGGGGCTGAGAACATCATCCACTGTTGAGATTAAGCTGATGGACTTTGGTTGTGGCATGCTGTACTCCTGCTTTTCAGGTGAGCTCACACCCAGGGCCTGGTCAGGCACCAGAGGCTCTCCCTTTTGCTGGTGGTGGTGGTGGTGGTGGTGGGGGAATAATTCTTCAGCTGGTGGCCAACTTGCGTTTTTTTTGTTGAGGGTGGGTGGGGATGGATTTTGCGCAACAGGAGGTGGCTGGGACTAGTATGGGGAGGGAGCCAGTCCAACAAAAACAACCAATCTGTGGAATGTAGCTGAGAGGGGGTTGCAAAACCCATGTGTTGGCCTTTCATTTGCAGGCGTGGGAGGGCTTGGGAGGCTCTATTCCCCTCTCCTGCCTTGGCCTATGGTATTTTTCATGACCAATGTGGGGCTGAGGGGGGGATAAAAGCAGGGTTTTCCCTACTTGTGCATGGGTGCTTTTCTTGCACCTAGTGGTCAGGCCTTCCCAGGGCCCCCTCTGCACTCTTCCAGCAGCAGGGGCTTTCTTTTACCACCCAAAGTTTGTAAACAAGAGTCAGGTGCTTGAGAGAAGGCAGCAGGTCACACTGTGTGCCACTGGTGCAGCCCCCACATCCCCAGGGATGGCCAGGCAAGGGCAGCATCTGCCTGATGAGCTCTGCCTGTGTCCTAAAGGAAAAAGGGGTGTACAGCCCACTGGAGTGGATCTTCTTCTACTGCTGCCATGGCCATCAAGCAACAATCCGGTCCCTGGGCATCCTGCTTTACAACAAGGTCTGCAGATTCCATCCCTTCAACACAGATGAGGACATCATCCTGGGCTGGTTCTTTTTCCTGCTGTGGTTGTCTCGAGGTGAGTACCCAGCTTTGCGGAATGGGAGGAATAACAGTGTTGGGAGATTGCAGGTGGTACACAAGCATCCCACTCTTGCAGCTGAGAATGTTGATCTCCCATGGTTAACTGGAGGAAATGGCACACGTCCTGCCATCCTGCTCTCCTCCAAACTAGAGAATCAGCTGGGAGCTCTGAGCATACCCAGCGTGTCCTAGGCACTGCAGACCTTGGGAGAGGGTGCACACGAACCACTGACCGCTGCTTTCTGGTTTCTCTCTCCAGCGTGCCAGCACCTCATCAGATGGTGTTTATCCATGCACCCCTCAGATAGGGCATTGTTGGAAGACTTTTTCAACTATTCTTGGCTGTAGGAAGTTCCCCTGCCCCAGGAGATGGCACAGATCTATTCCCCTGCACAGTAGGATCCAGAAGCCTGGCCAGTAAGGGCTTCACACATCTCATGGCATTAAGAAGCCAAGAAAACCAGGCTGTTTCCCTGTGACCAAAGCACAGCTGCTGAGATGCTTCTGATGGTCCTGGGGGAGGTTGAGGAAAAAGTGGCTAAGTGCTTTTCATCATATTTAAGAAGTCGTGACAGTCCAGTGAATTTCCCACAAACAGGAAAAGGGGAGACATCCCCTCCAGCAGCCAAGGTATTGAGGTCTGCCTGCAATCTTGGGCACAACTGTGGCATCCTGCAGCATGGCATCAAGCTGGGGACATCATCTTCAACCTGGGCACTGGCAGGGCAAAGCTGTTTGACTTCGGTTGTGGCACCTTCTTTGAGGACACCCTCTATACCCAAATGAAATCAAGATGAGTCGACTCATGGTGTGGGGGGCATGCTCCTGGTCACAGGCATCGCAGGGCCCATCTGGGCCAGACACTGGAGGTTCCCTGCTTTGCTGTGATGGGGCAGGATTAATTTCTCAGCCAGCTGCCAAGTTGCTTCTTGGCAGGGGAGGATGTGGATGTTGATGAAGTGGAGCTGGCTTCTGGCCTTGCTGACAGCTTCTGCTACTCACCCTGGCACGGGCTGGGGAAGGGGGAGACAGCCCAACAAAAACATCCACCCATGGGGGTAGCAGAGGCGTGAATTCTGAATCTGTGTGCCAGCCAGTTTGCTTGGGAGGCTCTCAAGGAAGGACTGAGGATGGGGGAGGGAAAGGCAGGGTTTTTCCCCATCCGTGGGAAGGTTTATTCCTTGCATGTGGAGGTTGGGCCTTCCCCAGGGCTGTGATAGTATGTCAACATTTTACATTTTTTCTTTTTTCCAGGTTTTGTTTTTAATTTACTTTCATGCACTTGTTATTTGTTTTTTAAAGGACGATTCTACCTGGTGCCCAGACTGGACTGGGAAGTGCTGAGACTGTCTGCAGAGTCGATCCACTGCCAGTGCTACCTTGGCCATAGTCTGCAGGTACAACCCCTTCAAGGCTGATGAGGACATCATCAGGTAGTAGCTCCTCTTCTGGCAATGTGGCTACCCTGGCTTCACAGCATGGGTGGGATAACAGGTTTTGGAAGATGGCAGTGGGCACACAAGCACCCTCCTCTTGCAGCTAATGAGGAGGTTGATCTCCCACGGTTAGCTGGAGGAGGTGGCACAAGTCCTACCATCCTGCTCTCCAGAACTGAGAACCGATTGGGCGGTTTGGGTGCAGCTCTGAGCACACCCAGTGTGGCCTGGGTGGGACAGGGTGGACAGAAGACTTCTTCAACTGACCATCAGTTTTCGGTTTCTCTCCCAGGGTGCCAGCACCTCATCACATTGAAACAGCCTATGAATCACCAGGCCCGCAAATTTGGGGGGGGTATAGGGTGTTTATTTGCTGTCAAAATCATGCATCCTTTTCCAAGCTTTTGATCCCCTTTCTCCAGGGTAATCTTCTTGTGTCCTTACTCACTGCATTTATTGGAGCTGGGAAGGGTTAAGCAATCCAAAAAATGGAATAGCTCCTGTCTCAAACTGCAGCAGCCACTTCAGTGACCCTCAACTGCCACCCAGGCATGTGCTGCATTTCTCTTTACCTTTTTGGTGCTGCTGTCTGTCCCCTAACAACCTCCTCACAAAATTTTTCCACCCAGCCCTAACAGCCCTCCACAGACCAAACAAAACCCCACAAGCTCGAGGGAAGGACAAACCATGCTGGGTGTTAAAAATCATGCCCTCAGTAAAACAAAGAATGGTATTCATAGAATCATAGAATCAGCTGGGTTGGAAGGAATCTCCGAGATCATCAAGTCCAACCCTTGATCCACTACCGCCATGGTTACTAGACCATGGCACTAAGTGCCACATTCAGTCTCAAATTATGCCATGTTACAGTTATCTTTAGACCTACTTTCTACTAACTTGTGCCTTTTTGTAGGCGCTAACTTGGTATAACACTCCATGGAAGAGGCACTAACAATTGTCTCTGTCCCCTTGCAAGCATATCTGAAATTATCTGGGCAAGATAATAATTAAACCCAACTAACTTAGACTTTTTTTCTCAACCAAACCCTAATAAATCTAATAATTTATTTAAAAAAAAACCAACAAAAAATCTTGATTTTTAGAAAGAATGTACTGATGTTTTACCTGTGCTCCAGAAAAAGTTTTGAAGTAGGTTGGTAACTTTGTGTTAGTAACTCCTTATCTGATTGTCACAGTTATGCGACACTGTGCCACAGTTATGGCACAGTTTTCCTTGTGCCATAAAATGTTCAGCTTCAATGGGGTGGTTTAGAGGAAGTGAACAAGAAGATATGCCCCCTACCACATGACATATAAGGTTTTAGCAGTTTTGTACAAATCGACACACTGAAAACCCCCAAAGTATCCATTTATCTTCAGAATATATACCATTAAGAAGACTAATCCAGACACTGAGAGTTCCTACTCAGTAAGTACACAAAAAAAAGCAGAGAGTTAACAGCAATGATCTATGTGATCACCAAACTGTCTCCTATTTAATATGCAGGGCTAAGTAGATCTGCTACTTACAGGGAGGTGTCTCAAGAGGGAAGGAATGTTATTTTCCAGAAAGCTTCAGTTTTGCACTGTCACGATGTTCTTTGAAAAGCAGCTCTGGTCAAGCAGAGGTACTAACCCTCTGGATTGCAAAGGTCCCAAAACCCGCCTTGCTTTGAGAAATACTCCCAAAGGGTAGCAATTTACTACAGGAAAGCACCTGATACAAGTCTGAAAGAATGACTCCTCTCAGACCAAATGCTGGACTGCTAACCTCAAGAAAAGTTCAACATAGGGACAGTGCCACTCCAAACACTTCAGAATTGCCATCGCAGGTGTTACCGATTTCCTACGTGTGATGTGCCAGCTTGAACCATGGAAGTTCTAAATAGTATTCACTGTCCATAGGGAGTAGGTTACAGACAAAACCCACATCATTCCAGAAAGCACCTCCTTCCTTGTACTGTCCCTCTCTTCCACAGCAGTACTGTCAAGCAGTAGCAGACTAGGTTAAGAAATAAAAAATAAATTCCAACTCACTACTTCAAAGTAAAAAAGACATTTCTTAAGAAAATGGATATCAGATTTTACTATTCTACAAAGATTTTGCTCTGTCCTATTAGTATCTGGGTATTTAAAAGAAAACACAGAACATCTGGTTTTGGTCAGTAAAGTGTCCATTTAATAAATTCCTTAGCCACATTTCCCACCCCCTTCCTCCCACCATAAAATTTCAATTCACACTTAAGCAGATGACATATAATTTGATGGTGTACAACATAAGCTTTTAAATCTGCGCTCTTAATACTAAGAGTATTAGGGGCTATTATTTGACAAAATTACCTAGAACTCAGATGTGCCCATGCAAAAAAAGCAGATTTTTATATACAGTCCCTATTTTTTCTTACAAATTTAAATATTTTACAAAAATGTATTTTCAAAATGTATAAAGTTTAGTGAATACCCCAAATGTATCTTAAAATAAAATGCTATCTGTTTTCAAAGGCTATTTCAACAATGAAGTCTAAATTGCACCGGATAAAAGGCACTTGTGCTGTGTGATGTCTTAAGCAAATACATGTTAGTTTTGTAGTACAGTAATACAGTGTCTTCTTGAATTCATGCAGCTGTCTCTGAGCATCAAGCATCATTAAAGCAGCCAAGGGAGATTGTGAGTAAACTTGATTCCACAGTTGTAAAAATATTTTCTATCGCTAAGTCAAACATACAGCATTGTGCTCCATCTTTGACTCTAGAATCCAATGCTACCGAAAAATTGCTGTAATTCACATAGGAATTCAAACTAACTTTCTTTCTCTCATAAGTTACAAAAAGTATGTAATTTAATTATGAAACTAAACCGTCAGTGAACAGCTCAGTGTTTAAATAGTTTGTGCCAATGAAAGTCTGTATTTATAAACAACCTAGGGGCTAGTTTTCAAGGCGCAGTGCATTGTATTTTCAATTTCCAACTTCACTGTTGAGATAAAAGCGCAGTCCTATTTGCCTTCATCTTCTCCAGCCTTTTCATTAAATGGCTATTGGTCATCTCCATCTCTTCTATCTTATCCAGTGCTGTTCTTAACTATAAAATGAAAACAAAAATTATGATCACTTTAGTTTATTTGGACTTTCTGCTGTTCTCAAGCTTTGCAAGAGGAAATTAGTCAGGAATATGAGCATTATACACTTTATAAGAGTGCCACAGAAATTAAGACATAACGGTTTTGTTATTGCAGGCAGATGAACCAGAATTAAACTGTTAAAAATAATTGTGAAGCAACTAAAACATAAAACATGTATTCATTCCAGAAGAACTAGGTGCCTGCAACTTCCCATTAAACGAAAGTAATTTACCTAGAACAAGGTAAAGTCCTCTTTACCATTATTACTTGCATACAGGTATGTATTCTCAGAGGTAGCATGCATCACATTGGTCATGCAGCAGCTCTTAAGCAAGCATGATCAACAGCTCAGTTAAATACAGCTTCTTTCCAGTATCCTGTGAGGTGCATGCTGGATAATTAACAGGCTGTCACTTGACATAGGGACCATCCATCTCCCCAGTAGTTTCTGTAGAAGGATTACTTTAAAATATTACAAGTTATCAGATTTAGAAAAAAATACAACTTAGATCCTTCCTTTCAAGAAAGAACAGCATTGAATTGTAGTTAGTATTATTTTTACGTGCTACAGTTGTCTTCTGAATGCAACACAGAGACTTGAAGGTCATCTCAAAAAACACTTAAAAGCTGCAACCAAAGATTACAAAAAAACAAAGCTTGGAGGCAAAAGACAGAGCAGTTCGAGACTGAAAGGAGCATACAGCTGAGAAGGAAATCAAGTCAGTTACCTCTCGCTGAAGCTTCCTCTTTTCAGCTTTGAGTTCGTCTTCTACTTTTTCTGCATTTTCTGCTGCATTTTTATACCTTGCAACCTGCCCCTCAAGTCGTCCAATCTGCAAACATAAACAAGACAGGAACGACTACTCAGGCGTTTCACCTGGAGCGCGCCTGCCACCAACTGTTCCTGTCAGGACACAGCTGAGAAGACACAGAAGGTTAAAAAACTAAGCAGAGTTGGAACAAGAAAAATAAAGAATTGGGAAACACGTGGATTAAAAACAAAAGCTGAAAAGTTGAAAGCCAGAAACCATATAAGGAGGTGCAAAGTAGAAAGGAGACTGTGAACTATTATCAGGACACGATGAAAAAAGTCTTCAGCCCAAGCACAAAGTTCAGTAGTAAGGAGGGAGCTCGAGACAAATAGTGATTGCAATCTGGAGCTGTTAAAACCCACTCATTGAATTGTTCTATTTACAGCTCCCTGCTACCCCCAAATCCACATGACAGGGTAGTAGCCTGAATCTGTGCAAAAGGGAAAAGCTATGCATCTGTGATTCAAATTATGTGATTTTTCGTAATAATCTGGAGTCAATTTCCTAAAATTCATAAGTATGGCAGAACATACAGAGGAACTGAAGCTACCGGTTCAAAAAAATCAATTTATGTAACTTAGTTACTTGAAAGAAAGTTGTAAATACTGTGTAAGGTATATAATTTACTCTCTGAAATTCAAGAAGTTCTTTTCATACATGTGTCTCTCACACTTCATAATTTTAAGTCAATAACATGATATTACAGTTCAGCATCTCTGTAGATTTTCTCTTACAGTTAGACTGCACAAGTATTGAATCGCAGGAACTATAAAAAAATGTAGTGCCCTAAAGATCAAACAACAAATCAAATTATGAAATATGTTTTCATAGTTTTTGTTGAAAAAAGTATTGTCAAAGTGTGCAGATTAAGTGTAACAATAACAAACATGAAGAAAGACACACTTACATTTTGTTCCAAAGTAGTTATATCTTGTTCAGCTTTTGAAAGCTTAAATTTGTATTCACTAATTTGTCTGTTGGCATCTCCTAGACAAAAATTGACATGAATATGACAGTCAAAGCAACTCTCTAAACTAGCAGATTCCCTTTTAATTAAAATTCATTAATAAGACCATTTTATTGAGTAGCCTGGAATACAGGATTGCAAAGAGGTAAATGTTCTTTCAGAAATCTGAGAGTATGGAAAAGAAATAATTTTCCTGTTACAGAACACAACTGTTTCTGTAAGAGTGTGCACTAAATTTCAAATGTATTGATGAGATACACACCTTTTAGAACACACAGCAAACTCATTCCTTAAAAAAGAGAACACAATAACCAACACACACTGCAAAATGGATCAGACCACAATAGACATAATACCAACAGCATTTACCTTACACATCTGTAATAATATTCGAATCATAAGGAGCACAAGGCGTGAACCTTAGAGACAAACTCCATGGCTCTTTACAAATTATTCTGGTGTTACATCTGAGCCCTGACATTGCCAGTACTTTGTTCATGTTCATTGACACAAACATATTAAATGACAATCTGTCAAACAAGTAAAGTTTTCAGCTGAAGAAACAGTTTGCTTGAAATGGAAAGTAGCTTAGTGGTTCTATGAAGCAAAACTGAGTATCGTATTAAATAAATTTTCATGTTTTGCTTCAAGACAATAGTCTTCTAGATTAAGTTTCTGTATCAAAGATTCAACAAATAAATTAGGTAGAATTCATTTTAAAAATCTCAGGTGAAATTCTATTGTCTAAAAATTGAAATTATTCAAGTAGTGGCACCCACTCTAGGCAAAGTTATCAACTGAAAAATAACTTCCTAGAATGTAGTTATTCAACACTGAAAGAGGCAGATTTTTAAGCTATTCTGCAGTGAGAAATTCCATGCAAGGACATATACCAACAAAAACCTATCTGCTCAACAATATATTAATTCACAATACTACTACTGCACAACAAAAGGAGTGGAAAGGTCTGTTTCCTCTCTGCAGGAAAAATAACTTTGAACAGTAACCATATACCTACTTTGCAATTCAATTAGCTGCAAGTCAGAACCATTCTCTAAGCCTATGATATCTGGATTCATGCCATCACTTTTAGAATACTTCTGTCGTTCTTCTTCTAACTGCATCTTCAGTTTTCTAACCTGGAAAAGGAAGTGTTCTTATGTGAAAAGGAGACTTCCTGAAGTTCAGTAGTTGTGTATCTAAATGTTCAATGGTAAAAAGGCAAAGCAGTCCTGAGATGCCACTGGTTGAGAAGGTACTGTAAGCAAAAGTAGCAGAGCCATGCAGAAGAGGAAGGGAAGCCAGTCCCTGAGGCCTGTGGCTGCAGCCCTCCATCCCCATCACTGGGGAATTACCCTCTGCATATCAATGCACAACCCAAACCCAACAGTTTGATCAGTGCTGCCAGGATGTCTGCACAGTGCAGGAGCACCCAGTAACTAACAGGGCTCACTTTTCAGAGGAGTAGATGGTGTTAAACTCTGTTTATGGATTTCTTCTACTGCATATCTTTTCCATTCTAAATATGCATGAAAATCTTGAACAATATCTTGGTGAGTTTACAGAGACAATAATCCACCGCTTTTTTTTGAGATCCTCTCTCATACTCCACCCGGAAACAATGGTCCTAGGCAAGTCTGTTGCGCACATTAGTTTTAAACAGTTCCATTTCATGCTACAGCAGCTGTCTTGTGATTTTTCCACTAGTCAGGGAACACAGATTTCTCAGCTATGTCCACTCTGTACCGAGTTTATTAAAGAAGTGGAAACTACCTTTTTGACACTCTCATAAAAATACTGCCCTACAGATTTAGCAGTATGGAAGTTATACTTGCAAAACTCTCATTCATGATACAAATCAAATACATGATCAGTGATTTTTACTATTATATAGTGAAAAATATACACATACATATTTATGTACTTATATTTAATACTGTAATTTATCGACATTCCAAACCAAGCATCTATACTATAATTAAGGTACATTAATTGCAAAAACTAATGTTCACAACACCAGTTTAAATTTGCAATGTCTTCAACTAGAAGCACCAACACTATGGTATTCTTAACAATTGCTCAGTGGTAACATATTTTCTTGAGCCCTCTTTTCTCAATACTGTACTGTATTAAAGTACAACTACTTTGATAATATCAATTTTCTATTTGAGTAACTAAAATGATCAATGAAATAGTATCACTTAGCAATTTTGAAGAAAGTGCCACTTGAGCTTACGACAATGTAATTTTACTGACTTTAGTATTTCCACATAAGACAAAAGAGCTTTAAGCACATGCACTAATAGTAGAGTCAGCAGCAAGTTATATTTCAGCTAACAGTTACTGAAATGAGGTTTCTTTAACAACCGCGATCAAAGTCATATGGATAAGGACACTAATGAGAGGAGTTGCTAATTCCTGGTAGCCAGTGAGGTAAGAAGTTGAGTATTTTATTTTGCTTTAGTGCCTACGTATTTGATTAAGCGCTTCTGGTGCTTAATATGTGTTTATTACTAATACATTATTAGTCTGCAAAAGGATACACAAAAGTCTATTTTTGAAATGAATAGCTTATTTTACCTGGGACAATAATTCCTCCTTTTCTCCAGCTAGTTTTCGTAGCCTGATATCTAAAAACCAAAGAACCCGATTAAAAATCAGAAAAAACTGAAAATAAGAACATGTTTTTCATAACTTTTTGTTCTATTTCAAATAAAATGCTCTTCAAAGCTAATAGCCCTGGGACCATAAAACTTTGATATCTCACTAATAACACACTAACCTTCAGTTAGTAAAAGCAGAAAAATATTTCATTCACACTGTGTATTAGTATAACAATTCTAAAAGCAAGACCTCTGGGTTTAGTAAATCTTCGAAGTAAATTAAAAACTAAGGATATTTTTTAATACTAAAAATAATACTAAAATATATTGTCCTGATATCTAGAACAGCCATTTCCAACAACAGTTTCTTCTGATTTTATACTCTTTTTCCTGTCTCATTCAGAGGTTGCTGTCTCTTCAGAGAAGCCACTAAGCTTCCCCATATGTTTAGAAAGTTTGTAAAAAGTGTTCTCAAACCATGAAAAAATTACTTGGGAAAGGACCCATGGGAATGAGGGAGTATCTCTAATTAGAAGATCAGTAATGGCTACAAAACAGTCTGTCAAGCAACACCATGCTAAGATTAGAGCAGCTCCCTTAGAAATTATAACTTTGACGGAAACAAAGCATAACGACATTTGTATTTCCCTATGAGGAGCCAGAGCAGAAATATATATCAAGTCTAATTTCTGTCAATACAAAAATATGTAACTATTATCTATCATGCACAAATATATTCAAAGTATATGGGGATGTTCCTTCACATGTTAACAGAGTATTACAGTGGATTGACTATGCATACAACAACTTGTTCAACCTAAGGATAAAAGCAAGTAATTACCTCCCCCCAATATGTACCTTTTTGTTGTCCCTGTCATTTTTTGAATGTTTTTAAAACTTCTTTTTCTAATGAATGTGACAGAAGACTGCACTTGCTGTTCTTTCATTGATTATACACAGTTCTGAAGAATTATTTTCATGAAACACAATGGAAAATATACTAATACAAAAGACTACACTTTTAGGTAAGATGTTTTCTGAGAGTAATAAACCAGAAACTGGACCAAGAGAACTAATCCATTTCAAACATACAAGCGCCTATTATTTTTTCTTTCTCAAAATATAACATCTATCTTTTTATTCAGTGTAAGCAAAAAACTAAAATAAATCAATCTTCAAAGTTGTGTAAGTATGTATTACAGAAGCATCACAGGTATCTTTCTGCAGCTGTAAATCACACACAGAGTGAACAGAAGGGAAACAAAGACCTCTAACACTCCATAAAGTATGTCAGGATATTTTTACCTAGTGGTCCTTCTCCTGCAGATTCCAGGACTTGAGCAGCTTCTTGTGATACAACTGTTATTGCACCAACCACCGATTCGTGGTTTACATCACCATTTGGTGTGCCATCTGGAATTATAACTAATCCATGTTTCTGAAAATACAAAAGAAAGAAAAAAACCTACTCATGCAAGAAAAATGATAAAATATAAATCAACAGAAAAGTTTTTTAAGAGCTTTTAAAGTTATTTGAAACAGCTACAATGAAATTAACCACTTACTCTACCCTAAGGTCAGGTTTTCAGACTCCACAAGAATAGTAACCATTCTTCCTCTTTTTCACTGACCTTGATTTCACGCTCTATTCTTGGATTTGTTACTGTAAAGTAACTACTACCAACATACCTCTCCTCTCTTCATTGTTTCCTTCAGGTCAGCCAACTCCTCTCTGAGCTCATCTCGCTCATTCTTAATGCAGTCAAAGTAATCTTTCTGTCTTTCTAGGGCCTGGGCTCAGGCAGATAGCAAGAAAAAGAATGGCACAGAGAAAAAGCATATGACAGATAGTAGAGAGATTTTCTACAAGTAAATACAAAGAGCTCCATAAAAGTAAAGAAATTAAATCAGCTTTTAAAATATATATTAACATATATCTCTGAAAACTGCTTATTTAGCATATTTAGCTTCATGCTGCATTTGTCTTCTTTTTTTTTTTTTTTTCAGGCAAGTCTTAACAGATTCTATAAGAGATTTTCATCCAGCGAAATCTACTTTTGGTAAATTTTTATAAACTAAATTGAATACCAAAAAACTAAGTAATTCTTCTTGATACAGGCACTCTGTGGCCAGAAATAAAAATTTCTGACACTCAAGTGAAAAAGATCCTAAAACATTCCATCTATTGAACTAATTTCTTTACCTTTTATAGGGTCCAGAAGTAGACACTGTACATCATAAAAGACTTTGGATGTATCCACGTACAAATACTAGCCTATTTACTAGTTGCTTAAGGGTTAAAACCACTCTTTACTAAAACCAAAGCACTTGGTTTTAGAGAAAAAATGGCAGCAAACTCTAGTATTGCTATTTTAGCACAAAAAAGTATGGCAGTTAAAAGTGCAGTATGGATGTAGGTAGGTTTGCCTACCTATGCTGCAGCTGTGTTACCTGGCATTTAATCGTACACTTTCACTTGATTGGGCAACGTTGCAGTGTTCTATTCAAATTCAATACCACCTGCATTACAAATAATCCTTACCATACAGCAACTGCAAAAGCATACACAGAGTTTGCCAAGAAAATTATCCCACTAAACCTTATGTTATGCATGAATGTTTAGGAATGGACTGATACCAAGAAAGAAATGAAGGTGTATACTTTTGTACTGTAATACATAACTGCAGTATGCTGAATTCTAATAATCATCTAGAATCTGTATACTAGAGCAATTTTTCAATGCATTACTCAATTTCAACAGAAAGTTTTAAAAAAGTGCTGATGCACTTGGTTTATTATCATGTAAATTTAACATTTAAAATACAGATAATTCAACATGTGTGAAAACATTAGCTGTCACATCTTAGTTTAAGAATTTGTAAGATGTCCTATTATTTCCTAATACACTCTAGATCTCTAACTACATCACAAATAGTGTGAAGAACCTTAATTATGACATAATTTTGAGTTACACTTAAAAGATACATACATCTTTGTCATTTTCAAAAAATAGTGGCATAGACAGAGGGGAAAGTAAGCTCACCCGCTTGAGAGAATGGACACAGAGGCCCAGAATCACATTACAGACACAGATCCTGTGTCCTTGACAGTGTCCTGTGATGATGCTGACCTTCCCAAAAAATGTTTCAAGCCTCACCCCCTAATGCACAGGTGTTGGAAATTAGAAAATTCTGATGGGGAAGGAAGTGAAACTGACATCACTATACATCTCTACCATATGGAGAACTTTATAATCATTATTCAATGTTGGAAAACTTTAGTAAAAATCCTAGTGTTTGTATGCTCAAGGGTTAATGTAATATGACACGGATTTTGTAAGAAATCTACTTTTGCCATTCCTCTATTGGGCAGGGGATAAAAATCAGAACAACTAAGCTCTGTGGGCATGTTTTAACATACCAGTATGAGTAAAATCATGTGGCAGAAAGCAGATTTGTCTGGGGTCTTATTTTCTGAATTTTCCAAAAATCTCCATGAAATCTATACCAAACTCAAGAGCTGCCATGACTAATTTCAAATTGGAAATACTTGTACAATTTGGAGCCACCAAACAGTAAAATAGCTGTATATTTCAGGAAAATAATCTGAAGCTATAGTCCAGTGTCTTCAAACTGATCTAATTTAAGATCAAATACAATTGCAAATTTCAAACACTGTAGAAACAGGACAACATAAGAAGGTAGGTGTAAAAGCAACTCATGCTATCTTTGTTCTGTTTGCCTCCCTTTCTTTCTCTGAGACAGCAAAAGTTTTGCGTACATTGTAAAACTACATTACAATTCTAGCTATAAACTACATTGTGAAGCTTCTCAGAGATCTCTGAAGCTGGAATAGAGTAAAAAATTAGCACAACTGCTCCATAGCAGGGAGAAAGACTCAAAAACTGAGCTATGAAAAGTATGTCAAGGTTTACAGATGTGGGAAAGAGAAGAGCAATGTTTTTACATTTGCATAACTTAGAGATTTCAATCCTGAAATAGTTAAAAAAAAAAGTAGCTGGTAACTATATTTTGAACATTACATATGCTCTCTACTAATTCTGGCAATGTATTTGAAAGAGCACAAAAATATTGTATAAATTGAGACAGTCCGGTATACAAATGTGAAAAGTAAGTATGGGAAAAATATGGTAAATTTAAGATAAAAAAGCTTTCAGAAGAATGTCCAGAAAAACTTAAGAATGTTGAAATTTTTTAATGATGGAAAAGAATATCGCAATATGGATTGAAAGACTGAAATATGAAATAAATATAAGACAGTATAGCAGGGTGTTTGTGAACTGGGCACCATGAGTTAAAAGAAAACTTTTCAAAAGGACTTGAACTCCAGCAAATAAAACTATTTTCAAAAAAATCTGCATATATTGAAATCTGGTGTAAAATTCAGTTAGAGAGAAATGACCCTGGAGTTGCTAAGATGCAGACAATTTCTTTCTAGAGGCTTTCCAATTAACTCCCTATCACCTCCAGGCAATCTACTTGTGGCCCAGAGAAGCCAGGAGTTCAGAGCCATGTAGTTATCACCAAAGATCAGACTGACTCAGACACTTCTGTGACTTCTGTGCTGCCCAGAAGCAAAGCTGACAAACCCTGCCTGACCTACATTAGCTGCATAGTGAGTATCAGTACAGTTCTTCCTGTACCACCTTCCTTCCTATAGAGAAACCCTACAGATGATCCTCAAAAGCTCCTGCACAACCATTGTTTAGATTCCAACTCTTAATTCCAATAGTTGGTACCTCTGGCATTTTGTGTATGGTATCACAAAACTGGCTTGATTCAGTGTTGCATCCAAGCCTAACAGTTCTGGAAGGATCAGAAGTGCAATACAGGAATGCACAAGTTGGCTACAGAAGTCAATTCAAGATCATATTTTTTAGCACTAGGCACGCCATTAAATATTTTGTAAAAAATTATAAAATTGTACGTGCAACAGTTTATCTTATAGATTTAATTACCATTATTCATCATCATGCAAGTAAAGATGAAGTATAGCCAATTTTCTAAAGATGAGAAAGCCTGCAAAACATTTTATACATTTAAATTGGAAGTGGCCTTCATTTCTTTGGAGTGCACAGCATTCCTTGGGGTGCAGGGGGCATCCATCTACTTCTAAATTAAAAAAAATACCTTTCCTCCCATATTTGATTCATACCCCTATTTTTTTATCTTTCCAATTAATTGTCTCCTGGAGATCAAACACCTCTTTGGTTATGGAGTCTATATTCTCCTGCATACGTTGGTTCTCCTGCAGTAAATAGGATGAGGGAAGAACAAAAGAGGAAAGAGAAGTAAGGAAATGGGAAAAAAACAAACATTCAAATAGATAAAGGAAATTAAGTAATAAAAGTCAACCAAAGAGTTTATGGGCATGAAGTTACAGAAACAGCATGCAGCTTAACGTAATATATTTCTTATGAATTCATGCAAGAGAATGGTAATTAATTTTATTCAATCAATGTTGATGGGAGAATCTAATGCAGCTAGAGCTACTTTTCTTTAGTAATTGTTCCCACTGCAGTCTGGGGATAACATCCTTTCTATAGAAATACAATTACCCTGGTTGTAATTTCTAGATATCTTCAAGTCCCCTTCGGAAGTGAAAACTAATATTAACAAGTGGTTTTATTAATGTTTTACAAAATAAAAAAATCTTCTTGAAAGTATAGAGAGTTTGAATCAAGCATCCAGGAAGCAAAAGACAGCTGCTTATACTGCTTTCTGATACTATATGAATACATATCGAGCGTGGTCCAATTTTTTTTAGCTGACTATCACTGTATTTTGCTGCTTGTCCTGCAAACGTAACTAGAATTCTTAGGTGTGATGTCATAAGAATTTTTAGGGCTAGAGACCATTGTTTTCCCTCTTAACGAGTGAACTTGATTTTACATCTGGGAATGGAAGGCAATGTCTTTCTGCAAAAAGCTACACGGCTTCAGCTAGATTTTCTGTTAGTGTTGATAGATGGAGAAATTGCTCAAATAAGTGGTAAATATGGGTCAAATCTTTGAAGAGACTGAATGCATTTGTGAATATTCAACACATGCTACATTCTACCAAAGCAAACATTCCAGGTAAACCTACTACATATTCTTGATTAGTATACTTAAAACCCACCAAAACATAACAAAAACCCAAACAAGATCATATAAAGTTAATTTTTAGTTCTCAGTGAAGTCAAAGATAATCTAGAGCAGGTAACAAAGCTACAACCCGAATTTTCTATGGTTTTTTAGCTTGTCAGCATTTATGTGACTCAAAATGCTGATAACTTAGGCTAATCTTATTCCTCTTCTTCTGCTAGTAAATCATATCAGCTCCAGTTCATGATGCATATTACTTTCGAAACAGAACTGGGACGTTTCAGAAGTCTTTTGGAGTTACCGTACTCCAGAGAGCACAAGAACATAGTGAGGAAATAAAGGATCAGTGAAATATTACATAGCTTTTGAAAATCAAATAGTGGAAACTTTGGCCCATACACTTAAAAACCATCAATTTTTATTAAAAGCAAAGGGCAGTGGGAAAATGATGTACTAATTGAACTACAACTTTCAATTTTTTAACTAAAATCATTGGGAAATGGACACCCACAAACTGTTGACTATACATATATATGTATATACATGTATGACTATACATATATGTTTCTGTGGACCATTTTAAAATGAAAGACTGATAATAAGTCTGGGATTTTAGGGATTTGTTCCCAGAAGGGCAAAAGGGAAAAAGAACAGAGTGAGAGGGGAAAAGAACATACCGCACACCCAGCAACATGGTTATGACCCAATAACATGCTGACCGGTGTTGCTATATTTATGCTTCCCTAGTAAGCAAACAAGCAGTCAGTACTGCAAACTGCAGTGGCTGATGTTCACAAAAATCTGAAATAACTGAAATGGAAACTCTTGGGAAATGCAAAGAATAACAGTTGGTATTATCCACGCATCAGAACTTCTAGATATGGAAAAAGATTTTGGCCATGCAAACACTAGTTCTGTCCTCAGCACAAAGAAAGATACTAGGAACATTCATGAGAGAACCACAACTCTCACAAGAATTAAGCATGTTACAAGATGTAACATATTTGAAAACCTTGCAGAGACATCTTCAACTTTATAAATTTAGGGAGATTAGTAGCTTAAATTCTACCCACTAAAACAAGATAAATTCTTTCTTAAAAATGCAAGATAATATTCAATCCTGTTTTGTATATGACGGCTGTTCCCATTCAAAGCTTACACCATATTTATTTGCATAAGTTCTATCATACACTATCTCATATGAACATACCTCTATCAATTCATCTCTCTGTCGAAGGCCCTCTTTTAGTTCATCCAGCTTATGCTGCAGAACATTGCAGGTGTGTTTCTGTCTTTCCAATTCCTATATTAAATAAATAAATTATTTATACTTCTTTTGAGTTAAGTAAGAAATATGCAACAATTCGAGAAATTCTACCTACCTAGGTGTTAAAAAAATATCACTGAATCAGTGTTTCAGGTAAGTTCTCCAGATATGACACGGAAGATTTTATTTCATTAAATGTAGAAGAGAGAGAAAAGATGCTATAAAGGCTTAAGCACGATATTAACAAGAAAAGCTGATTTGAAAGTTTTCAACTGTTCTTACTAAGTAGTCCAGAATTCTATAATTTATAATTAGAAAAAAAAATACCTTTGACTTCTCTTCATTCTCCCTATAGAACTCTGCTATCTGTTCTTCTTTCTCCTCAATAACGTCCTTTAAAGTATCCACTTGGTAAACCAAGTTGTTTTTCTCATTGTCTAGTTGAGCATTGGAAACCATAGCTTTCTTGTACTTCTCTTCTACTTCAGCTAGCGAATCCTATAGATAGCAGAAAGGTTTACATTAGTCTAACTTTTTGATACAGTTCTAATGTTAAAATATTCCCTTTAGATATATCAAGTCACAGTTCAATTTCCATTATTCAAGTTAGGTCATACATAGCAATGAAAAGTTATCATTACAAAAGCATGAAAAATATAAGATAATATTCACTGGCATTTTCTATTCTGCCACCTTCACAACTTAACTCACAGGGATACAGTAGTAGTATGACAGCTTTATAATATTTTCAGGGCATGCAGGAGATAACTCTTCAGAATGAGGCAAAAAAACTGACAGAGAGAACTCAGACAATTAAATCACTACAAGAGATCACAAAAATATTTCCAAGAGTAGCTTTAACTTAATGCTCATTATTTAAGTAGTGCTCTATTACCTTAGACTCAAAGTTTTAAGATAGTCACATTATTTCAGTAATAAGGATTCTCTGTTTAAGCAGATATTTTGTCTTTATATTTCTTACTAAGATAAAAAAAATAAAAGGCATGTAAAGATTCACATGCTTGATTCTCTACCTGAAGGTGCACATATGTCTTGCTGTATACCCTCTTACACAATTCTCTCCCATTTAACATTTTATCCTATTTTTAATTATCCTACTGTTTTTTTTTTTCAGTACTGTAACAAATGTCAACCATTTAACTACTTAGAACAAATATCACTCCAGGCACTTTAAAACATGCAATTATTTCAATAAGCATTATATGGGGGTTGAGACTAGATGATCTTCTAGGTCTATTCCAACCTCTTCATGGTCTATGATTTTATGATTTTAAAAATATAAAATTGATTTTCACAGAGTCCTAATTTTAGAATTGAAAAAGAACCACCGAGCCAATCACTTTACAAAGTACATCTGTGACCTACTACAAATCTCCTATTATTTCATGTAATCTGTTCTTTGAAGGTATAAGTAGCACAATCTCCATTTTTAATTATTTGTATTATGACAGTAGAAATACTGATGAGAAACTTGTTTAAACATGCTTCAAAATGGCTTTTTGTAGTCTCTTTGCTAACTCATGCTTTCTTCTTCCCAACACCCCCCACGACAACTGTTATCTCCCATGCAGGAATGTCCTGGGAAGATGTCCTAAGGTGTTTCATTGGACCTTGTTAACCCCTTCCTGTGATTGGGTGTTCCTGTAAGCCCCTTGAGACTTCTAACTGGTAACTTTGTGAATCCTCCTAAACCCTATAAATGTAACATCCCCAGCAATTAAGTCTCTCTTGCCTCCTCTCCAAGCCCGGTGTGCTGTCTCTGTACCAACCATGGGACCACGTGTGTGGGGGGAGGGGAGGGCACCTCTCCCCTCCAGGCTCAGGACCTGAAACCCCTGAAGAAATCCCTGGAGTTCCCTTTCCCCATCCCTCAAGACGTCGGAATGGTTCTTCAGATGGAGATGGAACTAGAACTGGGCTCCCCCACATTGTGGGTGGGGAAAGGGATCCAGAAACACTAGCACAGGAAGGGCATGAAGCTTGGGTTTTCCAGGAAACAGAGCACTAGGACTAAGATATTAAGGGAGAAGGTGGTAACAACCTAAGTTTCTTAAGTAAACACTGAAGAGTGCTATCTCTTATACAGTAAAGTTATGCAAACATTTTTGTTGCAGAATTATATTCATGTCTTCTTTTAGAAATACCAAGTCACAGTTCAATATTCTGCTTAAGAAATGCAAAAAACCCCCTATCCCCAAACCCTATTCCATGTTGTAAATCTCCAATTTGACAAAGCTGTCCTGTAAGTATGTATTTTACCTTTTATAATTTTATCATAATCACAGGTATTTTATACCTTTCTATTTCATTCACTGAATTCCAGAATTTTCTGCTGGAGAAACACAGTTTTTCAGAAACCCCAGAAACAGTAACTTAAGATATATCTAGACAGACCGCAGATCAGAAGAGACAAAACAGTTGAAGTTGTGAAAAATACAAGAAAGGTACCATTATCATCTGGGAAGCAATAAATAGCAAACAGCAACAATGAGTCAGGATAAAAGGAAAAAAAGAAAATAATATACACAAATGCATTTCAAGTAATTCTTAAGATTAAACCCAGAGAAAACATTTTTTGTGCTGCTGTAAGTGTGACCAGTTATGTAAAGATTGGCAAAAAAAATGCTAGAGACAGCAAACCTTCCAAAGACTTTAAAGAATAATCCACTTTAGAGGAAAAAGAGAAAAATACTAGGATTATAATGAATGCTATAGTAATTTTATGGGGAGATATGAAATTTAACAAAAAAATCCAACTAGGAAAAAAAATCTGATTTGATTGTTTCTGTGAATGTGGTAATTGGGGTCACGTAGTATTTTAGGTTGCTAAAGATCTCTGAAGGCCATCTGGTCCAATCTCCTAACTAAACAAGGCCAACCAAGATCACGCTGCTCACACCTCATCTCCAGTTCATTTTAAGTATCTTCAGGGATCTAGACCACAGAATCTTGTTGGATGACCTGTGCCAGGGTTTGCCTTCCTCATGTAAAGTCTTTTTCTTGAGCTCTAATTGGAATTTCTGCTCTTAACAATGCAACTTTTGTCTGTTGCATATTTCCCTTAGAAAGGTGTCTGCCCTGTATTCTCTACAGCCTCCTATAAGATACACTGAAAATGACTGGCATGCATCTGTATACTGCCAACCAACCCTCCAAAGGTCAAAGGCCATCGTCTCAGCCTCTTACTGTATGCCACATGCTCCAGGACTCCAGCCTTAAAGAGAAGATTAGGTTGGGGCTTAAAACATGGGACTAAAATGTCAGTAATCAATAAATTAATTTGGGGGAGGAGAGGGTGTGGAATCTGCAGTTATGGAAGAGGAATAAATTGATTTGGAGACTAATAAGTGAAAACTGCTTCTGAGAGAGAAACTAAGCTATGTCTAAGAGTCTCTGATGGGTTAAAAAAAAGTGGAACATTGCAAAGACTTCTTTGGAATTGTTTCTTCTTTTCAAGTTAAGTATTACACATGCTCCCCGTGGTTCAAGAATTCCACATAATTTCAGAAGTCTTCCAGTTTGATGAAAAATAATATGGATTTTAAATAATTTCTGAAACACATTAAGGAGGCAGTGGGACTTCTAAGGATGAAGCAGTGGGAAGAGGCCAGAATGAAAATGGATAAGGCTCTGCATATAACCTAAGGTTATGAAGAAATACCACCCACAATTCTATCGGTAAAGTCAAAAGACTATAAAAATTAGCCTGCTTGGCTAGAACAAGATCATTCAATGCAACAGACATCAAGAGAGTGCACTGTTAACAGCATAAAAGAAAAATTCTGAGGAAGGAAAAAGGATTCCTTTCTAGTTGTTGCAAAGAAATATAGAAAAGACCAACAAAACTGAATGAAACTGAGACATGAAAAGATTTGAAGACCTAACTAAATCAGAACTACCCACAATAGAGTTTATTCTGTTGACATCCAGCATATTTGTAGGTAAAGCTCACACTTTTAGCAGCATGATGGATGGGTAACCAGAGAGATCAGAAGGTAGCGTGATTAAAAATACCTGTTACTCAACCACTGAAAACAATCCCCTTAAAAGCAGTGTAAATGGAGGTATGGTAGTACCTCTTCTAAAATACACAAGACAAAACTGCTAAAGCACAAGTTGAGGAAAAGGCAATACCTTCCTAATTAAAAAGAAGGGTTCCTGAAAGAATCTCTATGGAATGCAAATTAACTTAGGAACACATTATTTAGTATTAGCAACAGCATAAAACGCAATTCAATTCTGAAAGCCAAGCTTAGATGAAGATCTTACTGTTTATTGCACATTGTGCTCTTTGGTAACTGTAATGGATTACAATAAATAACAATGCATTAGCAATGATTCAGAACAGTAGTCATGAGATGCTAGCAAACATGTAAAAGCATGAGAGTTAGATCCACTCCAAAAATATGAAGCAATCTCACATTACATTCAATCATAGCTATGTCTAATAATCTTGTAATCTATTGTGCTTTGAAGTATTTTTAACATTCATATGGCAATATAATTAAAATAAAACATACTTCATCTGAGCATATGGCTATCAGATTCAAAGTTACTTATCCTCTAGAGAGGTAATAATTTTTGCTACAGTGAACAGCTCAAATTACATATTTTCTCTTTACAACACCATCTAATACACTGTTTAATCAAAGAAATTCAAGGAAGCAGCTAAATACTGTTATATGCTCTAGTACAAGAAGCATCCATTAAATTTAGTCTATATGCGGATATAAAACAAATATGGAAAGATCTCTTTACTTTTATGTGAAACCATTCACAATTAGATAACGGGAAAGAGAACAGAACAAATATCCTGAGATTTTTAAGCCACATCATTTGCTGTATTCAGTTTCCTTCAACACAGAGCAGGTGAAAATAATCATACTTTAATTTAGCTACACTGTTAACTGTGTGAAAACTCAAAAAAGAAAAGCATACACACTACTATGAACGAGTCAAAATACAGATAAATCTCATGTGGGGGACTACACTTAGTGCAGGTAGCTTGGTGTGTGGCTGCAGTGCAAGCTGCAGGTTGTGTCCTGCATGAGGGAAAGAGCTGGACCTCCCAGCAACGAGCACAACAAAGGGCACAGGCACCTGTAGCATCAGCACAGGCATAGACTGCGACAGCTGCCCAGGGATTGCTTGGTTCAGGGTCCCTCCTCGGAGGCACCCAGCTAGAGCTGGTTTTGCGTTGCTGCACCATGATAAAACTACTTAAAGGAACTAGACATCTGGGACTCTGCTACTGGAAACCTGAGGCTGAGCTGGTAAGGAAACCCTGTCTGACGGTGCCAGTGGTGTGTGAGGGGAGTCAGTGGAGCCACCCGCTGTGAAGGGGCTTCGGTCCCACCAGGGAAAGTCTCAGGTGATGGGAGTGTGATTGCCAGAGTGGCACCTGGATGGTCAGACAGGAAACTTTCCTTAGCATTTGTTAACCTAATGTTGAAAAAATCAACCTACTATTTAGACAAGCATAATGGCAACACAAAACCATAAACATAAAAAAAAGTATTTCTTAATGGCAAAAGATTAAAACAAAATTAATCTTCTCCTGCAAGCAATACGCCTGCCCAAATTGATTTCAGCACATCTGTCAAAATTATTACTTTGGCTTTGCTTTATAAGACATAGTATTTTCTGAAACTTGGAATACTAATTCTTATGTTCTTTGCCATAACTATCTCCCATTTTTTTGTTCTCCATTCAATACCTAGTCATTATTTAGAACAACTATTTATTTGCTAAGAAAATTCTAAAAAATACAAATTGAACCTCTCATAATCTTACCAGGAAATACCAATATACAAATAAACATTAAAGTTTAATACTCTTTTAACATTAATCAAATAATGAACATATACCACCTCATGTACATTTTAAGCTGATGCTATATATGCATTAAAAGTTAGATACATGCTTTAAGGAAATTTAAAAATTTGTTAGTAAAGCCACTATATGTTAGCAAAACCAGTGATAACTCCACTACCCAAAAACACCCATACAGAATGCATGCCTGGGAGGAGCCCTGATACCTTTAGTTCTTTAAGTCCCTGCATGTATCTCCCTTCTACATCGTGTATCTGGTCCTTAAGATCATAGATATCCTGCAGGACATAGGAATGAACCATTGCATAAGAAGTATGGGGAAATAATTAATAGTCAAAAAAGCATTAAAAGGTTTAACATGCACTTCTGTCAAATGACAAAGCCTGCAATAATTCCCAGAAATTATAATTAATTCACAACAACTTCATGGAAATTAAGATTTTGTTTATAACCCCGAATCCAAGACATCTCAAATAGGACAGAACTGTTTGAAATTTGACATAAATATAGTTTTATCTTAACATAAGCTAAACTGTTAGCACCATAAAGACTTATGAACACAACAAACAAAATTACCAAGATAAAGAAATCCCTCATGATTGAAAATTATATCCTCATAACTTTTTATTATTACAGAAGTTCTGTATTAAAAAAAAAAAATCCTGCTATTTAAAACTACCTCCAAATTATCTGAAAATGCAATTTACCCGTAATTCACTGAGGGAGGCATCAGGATCCACCAAAATGCTTGCATCTCCACTTCCTCTTCTAGACGAGTTGCCACTCAGAGGAGTTGCACTTATTGAATTGCGAGATGAGGGCTTAAAAAGGAAAAAACCATTGTATCAGTAATCATATGGTTGTAGCTGGTACTATTGCCATTACTCTTTATAAATTTCTTCACAGTCATCGAACAGTTTTCTTGTTTTTCTAAACATTAGTTTATAGACAGTGTTTTCCATAATTATTTTCCAACACTTGTGTTTCTTCTTGGTGAAATGCTGATTTCTCTTTGATGACTTACTAGTTTATCAGAACATTAGAATTTTGAGTCATCTGTCCAGAAGACACTCATAAGGTGGCTGTTAGTTACTGTGGAAGTTTACAATATTACTAAACATTATAATTTCTGTCATCAAGGATTCAAAAGGAAGTCTCCAGTGTGAATCTAGCATATGGATTTTTATAGCCTCAGCCTCTTAAAATTTTGCCTTTCCTAATAAATATCTCTAACACAAAAATAAATTGTATAGAAAATTATTACTGGCTGTAAGTAAACTAAACAACAAAATTTTTTCCTCAGGAAATAAAAGACACAAAGTATTAATTTTGAGAGATAAATAATATGTCTAAAAATATCTCTGCTAAAAAATACACAGCATTTATACTTTTTGAACTATTTTAAAAATTATAAACTTGTGGGTGAACAATGACTTTAAATAATTTTTAAATTAAGATCTCTTACCCTTGAAAATATTTCTGAATGTGATTTTTCACTCTTTTCTTCCAGCTGAAAGAGAATAGAGAATGTGATTAGCTTTTGCTATGAGGGACTACTGAATCAGCATCTTTTGTTCAAAGACACTGAGAAATATTTAAAACCAAAAAACTAAACAATTCCAGATGTTAGCATAGATCAAGACAGGAAAAACAATATTAACTGCAAAATAAATTAATGCTTGTAAAGAAAAAAACAAAAGTTCCTTTTTAAAAGTTTTTAAAAAGTCATTACTGGTACTGACCAAAAACCATGTTTAAATTTCAACAGAGTAGTGACTACGACACTTGGTGACAGAACAAACACAAAGCTTCATGCAAGTACACTTCAGGCAGTCAGTGACAGCAGTGTGAATGTCCTAGTTAACAGAAAACACATTTGTTCTTTCCATCTCTTTGGTAAAACCTGCAATTGCATCAGGACAAAACTGAATCAGGTAAAAGCCCATAACTAAAGTGTACTAATTAATAGCAACCTACAAAATAATTTCAATTAATATTTTATGTATTGAAGCCTAAGCAAAAGAACTACAGCACCCCCTTCTTATTCAGGAAACTCTGCTATTGCAAAATTATATTGTAGATTTCCACATTTTCTGCATTTCTATGAATCAAAATAGGTGGAATTAGACATGTTTCCATATTTTCAAAACAAGTATTTAGTATGGTATCTGAAACATCTTGCTTCTCTGAGAACACCTAGGCCAGGGACAAGAGATTTTGAAGTCCATTGCAATCCCAGCAGAAACAAATGCTACTTTATAAGACCTTTCTTTTTCCTTCTATTGTGGTTTCTATAGAAGCAACATTGCTTTTTGAGGACAAATTCACCATCTCCAATGATGTACTGAAATTGTAAATTGCAAAATTTGTCACCACTGAGATGATAAAATGATGTGAAGAATCCAATTGATCTGAAGTATATGTTTAGACTAATCTAAATAAATATCTAATTCTGGAATCCAATAACACATAATGATGATGATAAAAGCAACTGAGAAGGTAGCATAAATACCTGCCTCAGCCTCCACATTTTCTTTCAGCAGAGCGCTAATTTCATAAAATCAACTTTATTATGGAAAAAAACCCTAAAGTTTAAGCTAGAGAAACGATCCATCTTTGAGGATGTACAGATGACAAATAATGTGCATTATTACAATACAAGTTAGATAGCACTGTAACAGTATTAAAATATCATCTAAATGCAAAGTCACAGAAAGAGTTGTTGCAGGAGTACTCCAGCTGTCAGCCTCCCATTCAAAGCAGAATCCAAGTCAGCTTTGGCTTTAATCTAGCTAAGTCTCACCAGTCTTGTTGTAACCCACCAGAGTGCAACACTAATCTAATTGTGGACCTTCTTGCAGTGTCTAGTCCAAACTGACAAACTGCAGTGTAAGGCTGCTGGCCCTTGTTTCACTGCTTGGCAAGGGTATGAAGACTTTGGCTCTCACCTAAGCAAGCACTTGCATGCTGCTGATCACCACACAGCATTCCATCTGCTCAACTAAATAAGTACAGTATTCGCAACCTCTCTGCCTAGTGCATGGGCTAACTCTGACCATTATTTCAAAAGACAAAAGAACAGAAATTTCCTTTTTTCCCCACACTATTAAAGAGAAAAGTTTTGACTGCAAGTAACAAGAACTTTTAGAACTTACAGCAGCAAGAAAGAGAAGGTAGCTAAGTTTGGTATAAACAATGTTCAGGCTAAGGCATGCACAGGAAAACCATCACGTTAATTTTCCTGTAACGTGATCTATTGACTTGGGATGGAGTACAAGTGCATAGCCAACAAGGAGTGCTTCAGTAATGGATCCTGACAAGATCTCATATTGGATGAATGAACACTGTGGGAACAGTTTTAAGTACTTTTGTCACTCAAACAACTAATAATATTCCAAAAGTAAACAACTCCTCCCCCCAGCCCTGTTAATTTTCATAAGAAAAAACCCAAACATTTTACATTTTAAGAAATTCTTGAGCTTATCACACACAGAAGAAAATGTGAAGTGTTACATTTGTCGCATGCTTCTAGCAACAAGCAACATCTCCTTTAAAGTAAAGCAGTATGCTTTTAAAAAATTCACTCAAGACATTTTCATACAAAAACCAGGTTCAACCCCTCAATAAACCTATTTTCAATGAAGTAACTCTGAATGCTTTTACAGTATTTACTCTTTCAGAGTATGAAAAAAAAAATTCATAGTCAGTAAGTTTGCTGCATTCCCCACAGTGTAACAACAAGCATTACACTCACATTATTCAGGCCTTGGCCATCATCTGTATCAGAAACAATGCTTCCCCTGCGGTTGGAACGACTAAAATAGTCAGCAGCAGTTTCACTTTGATCAGAAAAATCAGAGGACTTTAAAAGATAAGCAGAAGGGTGAAGACAACTGAAGATGACACCATAGAATGAACAAAAAAAACCCAAATAGGAAGTCCTAACTTAAATCTTTGTTATTGCAATTTATTCTTCCTTTTCTAACAGTTTAACATCTGTAGAATTTTAATTATTCTTCAAGATTTTTGCTATTTTAAATGAATAAAAAGTGTGCCACATTGATATATTTTATTTGTGCCATATTGATATATTTAGCATAGGCATTGTTTTTAAGCACTCTTCACGTTTGTTATTCTTAATAGTTCACCAAATCTAAAACTAGAAACAATGACCACTTATTATTGCATTATTTTTCTCAATTAGAGTAATAAAAAAAAATACAATCAGATACAAAAGGGTTTAGTACTAATTTAGGGCCAAACACAAATACAAAAATTACCTTTTAAAAAAGTTTGCAGATCATAAAAACAGATAATACAATCAGAAGTTGATAAATAAAAATTCTTATTTTTCTCTACAAATACTGTCTTTTTTTCAAATCAACACAAACCCAACAGTGCTAGTTGAATATGAATATGATCTGGGCTTCCTCTCATTCATAATTTTAAGACATCTTACATTAGAAGACAAGCTTATTCCCCAAAGATGAATGTCAGACAGGCACCTAAAAAGGTGAGGAAAAAAATGCCAATGCTACACATCACTTGTTAAAAAGGGCAAAATATATCTAATCACATTACGATAATACAACTGCCATGGGAATTCAAGTGAATTATTCAACTGAGAAACATTAAGCACATTAAACACAGTATTTAATGAGAAGAGTAGGTTTATCATAAGTGTATTGATAATATTCTTCTTCAAAAGACAGAAAGTTACAGAGAACATTATATTTAGTTTTAAAAGTGATTATAAGAGAGAAAAATCTTTATATGAACAGTTTGAAAATATACTGTCCTTATCCAATTCTCACTGTTGAAAAAAATTATTTCTTTGTACTTGATGTACATGTAGCCTCATTCCAATTAAAAGACAGTGAGGTGTCTTCTATGCAAATGTATATAGATATTACATGTATAACAGGTATACATAAAACAGTTTGCTGATGAACCCCTGGCTCCTTATGCAAGTTTAGGGCTACAGAATTTGTATTTGTTGCCACTGCTGTTATGTGCTATTTCTCTGGCAATGAACTTCCAGCTGTAACTACATCTACACTTAAAATAATATATTTATTTTTTAAAATGTAACAAAGTAGATAAATTTTCATAGTTGGAAATTTGGCTAAACCTTCTTATTTCACAAAGTATAAATGTGCTGAACAGAATTCTTCATATATGTATCATAATTACAGCAAAAGAACAACAATTTGGGCTACAATATATGATAACACTGTGCTATTTCATTCAAAATTCACTTATCTGTCCTGTTAAAAAGTTCGGATATCTGACAAACCTTGCTGTTCCTCCTTCTACACCTTTTGTACTTCTAATATTCTTCTCAATCGGTTTATCAAAACCGATACATTCTAAGATGGAGTTTCTCACCAGTGCTTTCTGTTTCCATCTTCTCTGCTGCTTGCTCTTTTGATTCCCAAAGAGTACTAAGCTGACTCCAAACGCATTATCCAGAGTGCAACCAAAATACAAACCACAGAAACAGCAGAAAGTGAATGTGTAATTATTCCTAAGATTTTTACCTCATCTGCTTTGCAAGATTATTTCATTAAACAAATACTGTGAACTCTATTAAGCATTCACTTGTATGAGTGAATGGTACCTTGGCATTATTGGTATAACACATGCATACTGAGATCTGATTATATATATTCCTATATATCTATAAAGTACGTACTTTAAAAAATGAATCTCAGTGTTAAGAAAAATTAAGGAGACTAGTAGTATTTTCTCAGTTCAAGAGACTACAAATGGATGTTAATATCTCTTAGGTTTTGGAACTTCATAAAGCAACAGCAAAAATACCTTTTTCCTTCACCCTCAAAAATTCACTCTGACATCTGTCGCAGCTAAAAACATTCATTTCTGAAAAATCTGGTTTTATTTTTTTAGTATCTGTAACACTGTTAATATGTGAAAGATTAAAAAAGGACTGAATTTAGCCCAGACCAGAACGCTGATTCTACTTTTTATTCTGGATAGCATGACAAATGAGCAGCTGCACCAATGAAACTAAGACAGTTGTTCTGTGGCAGAAGCAAAGTAAAACTATTTAAAATCCCTTTGCAGCACAATACCCCAACTTTGGAAGGACACTTTTAATACAATAAAGATCCGGAAATTAATTTCTCTCAATTTTGAATCCCGGTCACCATAAAAATGAGCAAGCTACTTTTACTGCATAATATAACAAAGTTTGCATTAGTCCTCTTCCCCAAGAGACTTTTTCCACATGTATTGAAGTAAGTTTCATGTGCTTGCCCCAACTATGACATAGGGTGGCACCCCCGACAATGTACTGTACTTCAGTTACCAGTTGCTTCCAATTATATAGATTACAAACATTTAAAAGATGTTTAAAATACCAAATTCCTTCTTCCTTTTACAGCTTATAGTCCTACTGCTAAAACTCTACATCTTGCTAAAAATCACACCTCTGTCTGACAAATTAAATTTCTTTGATGTGGAATTGAAAAATCAAGTCTGTGCGTT